GCAATCACATGATAACAAAGACAGTATAACTCTTCAGTACAAACACATAAGCAAGCACAAACTAGGCTTCAAAGTTTTGACCTTGGTGGTTTTTGATGGCATTATTTTGTACTTTAAGCAATCAAAAAATTGTGGTTGCAATGACAAATCAATAGAAGACATAAAGAGATTTTCATCTATTTTCATCTAAGCATTTTTATCTAGTTTCTTTCGCATCATTCACTTCAGCTAGAAAATGCTTTCTCTTTACTTTATTTTTTTGTCTTTAAACATCACTAGTTCAAAACCACTAAACTGGGGAAAGGCTTTCAATACATTTTTTAATAATGCATTGTTGCCCAATTCTTAGAATAGCTTTCAAATATACTTTTGCCTCTTTCACCCTCAGTGAAAATCCAGCCCATTCTCTTCCTCCTCAGATTAAACTGGACTAACGTTAGGAGGAAATTCATGTTTTTTACAAGCTACAACAGCTAAGCTGAATGTTGAATCCTTAGGATGCTGAATTTAAATGCAAGTCACTTTTTCAGTCATGCTGATGTCAGTTATGAATATAAAGCATAGATCCCTGAGATGTGGCATTAAGATATACCATAAAATTTGCTTGTACCTCAAAGCACAGCTTCTAGATCTAGCTCTGCTTGCAAAAAAGGAACACTTGTGACAAAAAAAATCATTACTTGAATACTTTGAAAAATCAAACTTGAAAAACATAGCAATGTTACCCTGAATCTGCAAAGTGACTGCAGCACAAGCGATGCAAGGGTCTTAAGAATGTAAAAATTAATTCACCTCCATGATTGTTACCCATATAGACACAGCACTTACTCCTCTCTGGGAACTAAGAAAAACAAAAAGTTTCCCATCCAAGAACTCAGTTTCCCAAAATTACAAATCCCCTTTTCTAGACTTTTTAACTCAACAGGAAAAGGAATTTACGCTAATTGTAATTATATTATTCTGTCTCACACAGTGATACTAAACCAAGAATAATGTCTACAGGGGATAAGTGACATTAATATAAGGACACTAGACTAACAAGTATTTGATTTGCACAAGAACAACACTTTCCAATAATAGTAAAGACTTGTGCTTTGGAAGCCTGCAGAAAGCAACAGATTCAGCACTGTAGATTCACAGAGACATACTGCTAGACTCAATTCTCAACACAAAGTGGATATAGTTGTACACCCCAATCAGAAATAGAAGTTAGACAGCCATGAAGAGAAAACAAAGTTGCAGCTTCATAGTATTTTCAAGTTATCATTTTACTGGTAGTTAGTCCTCCTTACATGTGGACTTTTCTTTATACAGGTGCTTTGCTTTTGCTTGGGTCTAGAATGAGGTATACGGGGGCAAGCTAAAAATAATATTAAATCTGCTGTGTACACACAGTTGTGCAAAGTTACCTTCTGGTTTCCAACTTACAGGACACAATGCTTAAATAAACTAATAAAAAAGCCTGGATGATGACAGATGAAACAATAAATATTCCCCACAAGCAAATCTCATACCTGGTTTAATGCTTTGCTGTCTTGCTGCTGCTCGTTCCATGCTGTCTTTTACACAGTAGTATAATTCCCGACACTAACATATAAGAAGAGTAAAATAATGTTATTTTCTCATATTACAGGGGAAGTGAATAGCAAGATTATTTAAAAATAAAAATAAAAAAAAAGCATAAGCAAGCCCCGTGTGGTGATGTGGTGCACAATAGCAAAAGTCTATTAAAGATTAACCACAGTTATTTACTATATGGTATTTATAATTTCTCTATCAACTTGAAAAATAAGTATTTTGTATCTAAACAGCATAAACCAGTGAATGGGTCACCCAATGGGTGCATTAGATTACTCATGAGAATGATGTTTACTCAGTTTCCTAGTGTAGAGGAAGTTTCAAAACAATATTACAATCCCTCTCCATTCCTCTCAACATTCAGAAAACACAGTGTTGCTGGTCACCCTCATATAATTTATCTTTTTGTTAATTATTTTCATTTCATTAATAATTACCTTCATTTCCTTATGCCATACTCCTCAAACAATCTTCCTCCAATTCTCTAATATAACATAATAGGTAAGTTGTAATCTCAGAGTAAATTTTAAGAGAAATTTCATAGAATCATAGAATTGCCTGGGTTTCTATCCAAGGCCCCAAATACATACAATTGACTTTCTAAGTAACTTCTTCAGCACACTCCTTTTGTATTCCTTCCCTCTGTACTCACACCTGAATTACAATGACTTGGTCTATGCAAAATTAAATTTTTGAAGCAGAAATCTAAACTCTTTACACTTCAAAAACAGTAGCCTTTCAATATGTCATTTGCAGTTACAAATCTTTACCTTTTGTTTGCTGATCATTGTGTAGGAGTTACTGGAGTTTAAGAGTTATTGGAGTTTTCCTAGTAGGTTTAGGCTATTTCTTTATGTACATAATTAATCATAAGTTTCCAAATAGTGGAGATAAGGCATATATGAAATCAGCAAAACCAAACATGGGCCAGGGGAAAAAAAAAACAACAATTTTTGATCAAGTTTTCCATTCAAAATAGCACAGGTAATTGCAAGATACAACTTTGTTTAGCTTTTGCCCATGAATCCAACACACTATTTTTGACATATTCCTAAGTCTCCACAACCATTCAACACTTAGTAGCTGAAATCCCTTTCTTCACATAGCACACATCAATGTTTGCTATGTAATCACATATTACTCCTAGTTCTTCAAATCAAAAAACAAGTAAAAGCTACATGTTGTTTTTAATTACATCCTGCTGTACTACTACCTCCAGTGACAACGCAAAATGTTACCTTCAATCAGTATTGTTAAGCAGCCATTGCAGTTCAGTAAAGAATACTGAATAGAGAATGCTATTATTTGATTAAAACACATGACATACCAATACAACATATTTGTTTTGCGCTGTCCTGTTTATTAAATAAAATGTGTACCTTCTTTGTGTAGAACTTGTTCAGTTGTGTTTCCTGACCATTCCTTCGCCACAGACACAGAACTTTTGTTTTGGGGCAGTAAGTCATGTTGATGAGTTTCTCATACCACCAACGTTCATACACAGTTCCAATGTTGCTTCTCAGCACAATGCAGTCATCACACACCTGGGAGCACAAAATATTAGATGAGTTAGATGAGATTTCTAATACTATTTATTGAATGCTACTATTTGCATTAATATATTTTCCTTTCCCTACCTCCATGAAAAATATATCTCCTGTAGTGTCTGTCCCAGCATGGACTACAAAAGTCTGCTTCTTGATGTGGCGGCTGCCGCTGGGTCTCACAGGGAGTTCCCGTCCATTCTAGGTAAGATAATACAGCATCATTAATGAACTTTGAAGCCAGCTTTCTTGAGAAGTGTCCAGTAGGTGACACTAGAAGCATTTTCAACAAGAGAAAAGTATTTTTAACATAAACGATCAGAGGCAATTTTGGACAAAGCCTTGGGCACAATACTCCAGTAAGTTTAGTTTCAAAAAGAGCAACTATGAAAGTCACTGCAGCACAAAACAACCTTCAAGCTGGTACCACGTTCAGTACGTGATAGTGAGGTGTCTATTTCCAGTAACTATTACCATTGCAGTGAAATGGCCTGCTTTTTTCCCAGTTAACAATTGGAGAATTTCACATCCTTTCTGTGCATAAAACTAAGTTACAGTCTTAGTAAGAACAAAGGTTCCCAACAATAGTGATATTAGGAAAACATCAAAGTTGCACAGAACTCTAGTGCTGAAGTCTCACGTTTATACATATTTGCATTGCAGTTCTGATGGATGACTACATAATATTATAAGCAGGGCATACAACTAACCATGGTCTTTATACCATACATATGAAGGCAGTATTTAATAATCTGATATAATTGATATTTAATATTTTTTTCATAGTGTTGCAGCTGAGCATTTATAGAAGAATTTTGAAGTATTTTTTCTCCCTCTACTGAAGCTCCCACAGATGCATCATTCATCATGGTTTCACCTACCAGGTTAGCAAGCTTGTCTAGAATGTCATTTAACTGCTGGCTGTGCAACAATCCAATATGCGATTTTCCCATCAGACGACGCACCTTTTTCCTAATATCATTCTTATTCACCTAGAAAGGACATATAAAAAGACACTTAGTTACTCTTCTCTAATCACAGGCAACTTCCTCTGCCTCCTGAATTCAACATATTTTTGTTTTCATTGCTAACACTGCAAAACAACTCATCTGCAGTTCAACCATGCTAGGTCCTCCTTAGCCCAGCAGTACCAGCAAAAATTGCTCATACTCCACTTTTCCCAACTACAGGGCAAAAGACACTACATACAACAGATTTCCTGCCTACTCTTGCACAGCAAAGCAGCAATTTCATTACAACCCACTTTCCGCTACTGAGATCAAAATTTCCAATTTCTCCATGTTGCCATTTATTAACTTTATTCGCTCTCCCCTTCTGCATTCACTGATCAAAGTAACTGGTTATTACTGCTGCTACTGAAAGTATCACAAGGATGCAAGTCCTAATGGCCAAATCTCAGCCTTATTCTGAAATAAACTCATTCCAGGTATACTCAAATTCCACCTTAAAACTTATCTTCATATTCTATCAGAAAAAAAATCAAACCTTGTTTCTTTCCCCATTTTCCCCTCCAAAAAATTATATGAAGCAACTTCTCCACTGGTTGGATATCAGACATTCTTCATCTTTTCGCTACTATGGATTAATATCTCACCTCCTCATATACACCATAAAAAGTTATAAAACTACCACCAGTGTATACCCAGTCTGATTCTCAAGGTGTTGCATGAGCAGAATAGTACATCAAAACTGTTACAGGATTGGAAAAGCAAGACTACATCTGGACAAAAGTTTTAGAAGACTGATTTTCCAGTGACTTTTGATGGAAAATTTGCATTATTTCAGAAATAATTTAGATTAAAAGAAAGTTATTAGTAGCCACCTACAATCTTAAGAACATATAAGACAGCCCACTGAATGAAAAAAAGGATTTTGTACGAGTAACTGCAAGTTTCACGTTGAGCTATTGATATGCATATTCATAATCTGCCCATATTTTCCTTTCAACTCTGTCTTCCCCAAAACAAACTAGAATTTGCAGCTGTTAGGAAATCAGACTAAAAGATGCTCTCTACATAACTTGTAACCCATATTACTGAGAGTAAGAATGTCCTCTAAAGGTGCTGGTACAGCTAAAAATTTCATTTATATTGCAGTGTATATGCATACCTATAGCATAGGACTGCTTAAACTAAGACAGTAAACCTCAAAAGATCTCCAGGTTCTACAACAATTTCCTCACTGACATCAGATATTTCAATATATTGTGTTACACTATATTGGTTTCAAGACACCACCACCAGAATACACTGTTTTGATATAAGCAGTGATCTATTAAAAAAAAAACACTCACCTTTATCATAAGCATATAAGCAATCATATTATGTAGCAGCGTAGCCAATAAGCGGTCCTCATCATCCTCCAAACGCTTTCGATCATGTTCTCCCAAGGAAAGATACCTGCAAGAATAGTTAGTTGTGAAGTAGAATCATCCAATTCACTACAGCACTGGCAGGGCATAAAAAGTGTATGGCAAATAAAATCTTCAAAAACACTAAGCCAAACAGACATTTTCCGGTACAATGATGCATTCATTTATTAAGCATTCATTAATTATTTAGTTCAAGCAACTAGACTATGCTCAGTGGGAAAGTTCTCAGCAGCCCACTGGTCTTCCACAGTTGCAGCTTCATGACAACTGCTAGAAGAGGAACATATAAATCAGTACAAGAGTTGCCCTCTTTAGAGCTTTGCTTCTGCTAGGCAGCTGCATTTAACTCATGATAGAAGTGTGCAGGTCATCTCTTATTCCAGTTGAGTAGACAGATTTCAAACTGCTTATTTTTCCAATAACGAGCAACCCACTGACTACTTCTGGCTACTTTGGCTAAGAGAGCTAATTCTACATGATAGCATGGCTATAGATGGCACGGACACTGGTGGTACAAAGAACAGAGAATGATCAGACTTTAGCATGGCTGAGAAAAAAATAACAATAGGCAGTAAAGACAGCTTAGAAGTAGCATTAAGCAGTCACGCATGTTTCTATGGAGTTGTTTTCTCACTGTGGTGTTTTCATGATTTTTGTTTATTTGTAGTACAAACTGTAAAAACACCTATTTACAATTTTGTATTCCGGGAAAGTTGAAAATGCACTTCCTGAAGATATTTAACTTTTTTCAAAACACTGGTACATCCCTTTGTTCCAGAATACACTTGTCCGAACAAAGAAATCCTTTGCTTTATTGAGCCTATTCCATAGTGTGATCAGATTTACCATTACTCCTTTCTCAAAAAATATCACAAGTGTAAGAGAGACAAGTGACAACTGAAGATAGTATTTCAGTAGCAGGAGATGCTGACCAGCACAGAGACAAAAGGCTCATTTTGGAACAATCAGTAACAGCACCAAAGTTTACAAAGTGACAAAATAACACACACTAACGAACTAAAATAATATTCTTTCTATTTTGTCAGCCCCAGGTGAAATAATGAGAAAGAAAATAGGGCTGCTAAAAACTTTACCTGTCAATCATCTCCTGGGGTCCTTGATCCATCCCCATTCCTTCTCTCTCTAACATCACCGCATCCAAAAAGGCATCTTCCCAAAACTGCATCTGGTCCCACAATGTTGAGCGCTCTTTGCCTAGGAAGTACATACAAAAATTGAGTGTTTATTCCAGTCAATTTCCCTTTTTCTTTTTTTTTTTTTTTTTTCCCATATTTTGAAAATATGACAAAACAACAAACAATCAATATTAAAAAAGCAAAAAAAAAGAGTAACTTTTAAATCACAAGCAAAATCACAACAGAGGAAAAGTGTACAATTAAAGACAAAACACACTGCTCTAATGCATGGCATAATCTTTTGAAAAATTTATACAAAAGAATCTCTCATCCCTGTTCTGTAAGAAATGTACTTTCTTCCATACATTGTTAAACACTTTTGAAAGCGACAGGAATATCTCACACAAACACAAATCATGGCAAACACACAGAGAAGTGGAAAGATGAGATTATTACTCATAGAGAAGGTTTCCATTGCAGCATCCTCTAACTGGTCCCAGACAGATCCTTTATCCCTACCTGTATCATTCCAAGCGGGTAGGAAGAATGAATAGAAAGGATGAAAAACAGAGGAAGAAAGAGCTCTTGATTAACAGCAAGTCCAGGTAAAATACATTTAAAACAAAAAACAAAAAACAATATACTGCTAATTCAGGGATGCGCACTCTAAAACCATTAAACTTTTGAGTTTAGTAGCTTTTATTCAAAGACTTAAACTGAAAGAACTTTTCTTAAAAGATCAGCAATAGATTTTAGTTTTCTGTGTATAGCTAACTAAGGTCCATCTTCCTTCCAACGGTATGAAGTATTCTTACTCAAGAACAAGAGCCTTGAAAAAGCTACATGTAATGCAAACTACACCACCCTCCCATCTTCACTTATTCAATCTCCCCAGCAAATCTTTTGCTTTACTTTGTATGTCCTAATGGACTCTCATATTCTACCAGCACATACAACAGGGAGTAGTTAAAAAAAAACAATCTCTGGGAATGCATAAATTCCAGTCTGCCCCAGACATAACTCCAGCTTCAGTATAAAAGATTCCCTTGCTCCCCCAAAAATAGCTTACCTAGAAGTCCTTCATAGAGATAGACACGCTGGTTCCCATCCTCTGGACCTTTCCCTGCAGTACTGCCTTTGTTCTCCTTTACATTTTGCTTCAAGTTATGAGACTTTGCCTGAAAATAATATACGAGGTGTCAGATATCTCTGCAACCTGCAGGGCTGTTTCTCACAATATACTGCTGCACTTAACAATTTGCAAGTTATATTTCATGCACACTTCTCCCACAAATGTTTCCCAAAAAAAATGAAGTTATTTGGTTAAAAAATTAAGTTAATACACTTAGAAGTCCAGAATCCAGACAGACAAAACAAAAAATGCAAATCCCAGACCAAACGAAAGAACAACTAAACCTCTTCCATTATCCTCTACATTTCACACTTAAGCAGAATTTATCTCTGTTCTAACAGTAAATATTTCCCACATTCAGGAAACAGCTGAATATTACTATCATTATACAGATGTTGAGGAACACAGGAAAAAAATGCATGACATCTTCTCAGGATGAAAATAGAAAATGAATATTCACAAACAGAATAAGTTTACCTGAGTTTGATCTCCATATTTATCTTTCATTTACCATTCATAAAGGCTCAGTAAACTTACTAATGTTTAGCAAATTATTACGTATCACCTGGTCTAAGAACTGTATGCTGGGACTGTCAGAAGGAACCACAATGACAAACTTGCCCATCTATTTCTAGCACCAAGTAAACTACGTTATAATACCTGACATTCATCCCATGTCACATAATCTGACTTCTTTGTTCTAAACATGTTGCACAGGTGTCTTAAACTTTATTTAGTTATTTAGTTTCATTAGTCAAGTACAAAAATGTCAAAAATGCAGAAAAATTGATTTTTTTTTATTTTGTGTTGTTTTTATGCTTGTTACCGACCCACAAAGTATAACTCCTCAGTAACTGATAAGACTTTCTCTCAACTAAATAAGCTGACGTTACATTATTTTCATGCTCTTAAGAAAAAGCTGCAGTGAACTATCACAATTTTGGTTGCTGTTTAAAATCTGAAGTACATGCCTGGTAAAGGCTTTTACTATTCAGCCAAGATTATAACATAACGAATGCAATCAGACCAGTGTTTAGATACTGCAAGTTGTTGTCACATATGGTTGAAATCGTGACTTAACTAAGTCAAGTATATGATTATTTTCTTTGTAAGGCTATATCAGTAGGTTATATCAGTAGTCAAGAACTTTTAAAACAAAATATGCTCTAAGAGCATTTGAATTTTACTGCATACATATCTCCCAGTTAGCAAAAGATAGTAAAAAGTTATGATTAAACTTCAGCTAATATTAATGTTTTTAAGAAACAGAAGAACTGCTAAACTCCATCATCATCATAGACTCATCACTTTTCTGTATCAAAGAGCTGCTCCTAGCAAACAGGCTATCAGTTCCTTTTAGTTAATTAAAGTCAGACAGTGCCCTTTGACCTTTTTGTTTGTTTGTTTCTGAAGGGGAATTAAATGTCAATTTGGTTGAGAGTAACATCAAGCAAGGGTGAAATTAAAGATTGCTAGAGCCTGTAACATGACGTAGAATGCAAATCTACTATACTCAAAGAACCACATATTGCACAGACTATGAAGAAAGGCACATGGATCTAGCAAAAATTTAATCTTTAGTATTTTAATATTGTAAATAATTATTGATTAATCCTCCAAAGAGAATCAAATACCTTTCTTCAAATACACAACAAAATTAAAATGATTACTGGGCAGGAATTTTAAAATAAATAAAGGTATGCAACATTCTTACAAAAATAGAGCTAGTAGCAGAGTTTGTCTCAATTTCACTGTCTGACACAGTGCCCCTGGATCCTGTCAGATTGCCTCCATTTTCCACACTTGGGCCATCACCAGCATTGCTACTCAAGTCACTGTCTGCTCCTAGTGTCTCCCCAGAGCTGTTACTAACCTGTGGAGAAAGATAAAGCCATTATTCCTCAGTAGTCAAGACAGTACAGACAGAAAAAGTTTTAATTTTTTTTTTGTCTTACAGCATATAATAATAAACAGTACAACTGAAGGCCACCTTTGCCTTTCCTCTTTCAGTGATACTATTCTCACACAAAGTCCAGTAAAAGATTAAAAGATTAAGAGTCCTTCAGAAAATCCCAGAAGTGTTTAGTTTGGAACAGGTCTGTTAGGATCTGTTATGTTACATCCCCGTAGCTCGAGCAAGGTCAGCTAGAGGATGTTGCTGAGAACCATGTCCAGAGAGGTTTTGAAAATTTCCATGCATAACTATTTTATAGCCTCTCTGGGCAAGCTATTCCAGTGTTTTATCACTCTGACAACACATCTTTTTTAAAAAGTATCTTCTTCCAGATGGATTTTCCTGTGCTTTAATTTTTGTGTTGATCATCTCTTGTCCTGTCAGTGGTTACTTTTGAGAAGAGTCTGACTCCATTGTCTGCATTCCCTCCTGTTTAATATTTATGCACATTGATAAAAACCCCTCTGTGCCTTGCTTTCTTCAGAGTCCCAACTCTCTCAGTCTCTCCTTATATGAAAGATGCTTAAGTTCTTAATTGTCTTTGTTTCTCGATGCTGTTCTGGCTTCAGTGAAGTTGCCCTTGTATGGGGAACCCAGGACTGGACATTCCACTAAAGCTGAGGTAAGAAACATCGTCCAGTACTCTCCTCTCACACACTAAGTTAGTTATCCCACTGTCTGAGGTTAACACCTCAGTTAAGCATAATTGCCCCTTTGTAAATCCATGCTGACTACTCTCATTTGTATTCTCGTCTTTCATGCATTTGGAAATGCTTTACAGGAGATTTTTCTCCACCTTCATTCCAGGATCTGAAATGATGGTGACCAGACTGTAGCTCCTCTATCTCCTTTCTTGCCCTTTTTGAAGGCAGGAGTGATACTTGCTCTAACTTCTTTCTCAGAAACATTTCTTAATCACCATGATTGCCCAGAGACAAAAGCATCAGCCAATTCCCTCAATGTTCATGGCTAGAAACCTTTAAGCCCCATGGACTAATGATATCCAGTTTGTCGAAGTGCTCCCTAGCCTAATCCTCTCCATCAATAGTAAGTCTTCCTTGCTCCAGCTCCAAGCTTCTTCAGATCTCATAGGCCTGGAATTCCTAATGGCTAGTTTTACTGATAAAGACAGGCAAAATAGACACTGAGTACAGCAACCTTTTCCATTTGTCACCAATTCCCCTGCCCAATTAAGTAATGGGCCCAAGTTTTCCCTAATCTTCCTCTTGTTGTTTACGTACTTGGAGAATCCTTTATTGTGGCCATTCACATTCCTTTCCAGATTTACCTTCAGGTCCACCTAGGCTTTCCAGATTCCACCCCTGCAAGATGGTACAGCAAGTATATATTCCTCCTGGGTAACCTGCCCCTGCTTCCACCTCCTGTGTATTTCTGTTTTATGCTTCAATTCAATTAGGAGTTTCTTGCTTATCCATACATGCCATGTGCTGCCTTTGCTTGATTTCCTATTTGTTGGGATGGAACCTTCTTGATCTTGGAAGATTAGATCTTTGAATATCAAACAGCTCTCCTAGACTCCTTTTCTCTCTGGAGCTACATACCACAGAAAATAATTTCTACATCCAACTGGGAAGGACAAAGTATTATTCTCGTTACAGGCTGGGAAGAGATTATGGAAAACTAGATATTCACAGGTATGCAGCAATTTAGAGAGAAGAAAAACCAAAAACAAGAAGGAAATTCCTTGAAATATGCTGTATCAGATAACATGCAGCAGGGAGAAGTCTTTTTCGTTGAATGCATTCCTATTTCTTTTTCTCTAGGCCCTACAGCTGATCAGAAGAAGCAGACATATTTGCACATGGTTCAAATGGTTTAAGGTAATATATCAGAAAATTATTTCTTGCTTTTAATGCACCAATCTTTTTTTTTTTCCTCTGGTTACAGTCTTTTGAGATAATTTGTACACAACTAAGCCATATTTATAAAAGGATTGCCTGTTCCATTAATACACCAATATGTAGGAATACATAAAAGCAACACGTATCATATATGACAGATGCAATCTGCTAGTAAAACAATGCATATTCGGTCAGATAGACATTTGCCACCCACTTAGAGGCTCTGGACAGAGACAACATCATAGCTACAGTATTTGGTGTCTGTGTTAGTATGCAGTCATACCGTACACAAAACATAGGCATGAAATGCTCTTCACTTTACCAAGAAATGAATCACATCAAGATTTCACTTTGGGTATATCCTACCACTGTGCTAACTTCAGAATCCTGGCTGGTACTTCGGACCATAACTGATGGTCCTCCGCTGGGAACAGAGTCAAAATCACTCTTCTGCAATCAAAGACATATAGGAAAGAAAGGTCACAGCAGTTTAGTTTTGACCATCACAGAAAAACCACCACTTCCCATTCCACTAGGATCTTAAACCACATATGATATACTTCCTTGACTGATTAAGCCAGATAAATAGAAACTAGTGATTGCAAGTCAAAAAAGTAATGGGATTTTACAACTGAAGAGTTAGCAAAGACTAGTACCCTAAGGGACGGGAGGAAGAAATTTTTCTAGATGACCCTTGCAAGAAGTCTCAAACTGTACAGGTTTCCCACAGGTAAGCAGCAAATAGAAAAATCTTCTATCTTATCACATAAATAAACCAAGCAAAGAAGCCACTGACCTGAGAACCTGAGGCCAAACTGAGGCCACTGTCTGCACTGATTTGGGATTTTTTCTCATCTGTTTCTCCCAAATCAAAATGTTTTACACCTTCTGGCCCTGTGCAAAGAAAAAAGTAAATCATTATTTTATCAAGAAAAAAACAGTACAGCAGAAGGCAGGTGACAGACTGAAAGCAGGAACAGTATCAAGAAAACAAATTTACATTCTCATTCTTCCATGTTTTTTGTTTTTTATTATTATTTCTTGGTACTGTTAATAACAAGGCCAGCAGAACACATCTGCCATTCTTTGAATTTCAAATATTCCAAAGGCATAGCACAACATGACTGTTATTTAACAGTACCTTTGTTAGTCACTCGAGATTGAAAAGACGACATACAAAGGTCAAGTAGCTTCCAGTTACAGTAACACATGCAAAGCAGTTGCCATTCAACTCTAGGAAGCCACTTCCTTATTTCTTGGAAAAAAACAGAGGATACTTAATTGCTTGAAGTCACTATCCCTTTTAGAACAGCTAATTTGCTGAGCGTCTGGAATTCAGTTTGTTGAACAGACGCTGATACCAGCAACTATCTAGGCAATAACGAGGTAACACATCACAAGAACATCATTAGTGATAATTGGTGTTACATCAGTAAGAATATCAGGGAAGAAGCTTGTATGATGCTGTACTTCATAACATGCGCCAATTATGTAACAAATGGCTCTCCAGAGTTGGCAATCACATAGGTCAGTAGTGAGAGAGAGAGAAACAACAAGCCTTAAGTCATGCATTCATAAACCCACCCAACTGAATAAACAAAAGAAAACCGTAACAATACAAAATAAAAGACAGAGAGAACTTTGTGTTCTATTTCCCATGCAGTTCTGGAATCACATCATCTATTGTCCTTTGATGAGATGGCAGAAGGAAAAGAGAATGATGGACAGGTAGAGCCTGAAAAGAAATTTGGATAAGCACTGCATGAAGTAAGTAATGAGGCAAGAAAAGAAGTGTTATAGACTGTACACAGATTATCACTAGTCTCAGAAAAGGGAATAGACTGCAACACCTCTGCCATATCCATATCTGCCAACTATTCAATAAAAGGAAGACATGATCAGCAGCTGGAATAGTTATATTACATATCCATGAATATATCCAGTATCTCTAACCAAGCAATGCCACAATCTCTTATAATCACTAATCACAACAACCTGGGAATCATGAACATGTCTGTATTGTATGTAACATTAGAGAGGGCAAGACAGTGAAAAGGAAAGAAAAAGGCAAGGGAGGAGAGAGTGAGAGAGAAGGATAATATACAAAGATTTGTGGGAGTGAGCTTGAGATGGTATGTAAACTCATGAACAGCAAAGCCATAAGCGGGCTGTGCAGACCATACTAGCTTCCTACTCAAAAACAAACTGTCCACGTGAAATATTTTAGATAATTGTTCCTCATTTATTATACTAGTCTGCCTATAAAAGCTTATGCCCTAGTTATTGCAAATTGAATTGTGAAAGACTAAGATCAAAGAAAAATTCAAAGTTGAAAAATAAACTAAAAACATCATTTATGGAATTTGGAATTTTATTTTCTACTGAAATATATATTATTCACTTCTAAAAGTCTACGTCCAGCCATTCAAACAGCCAATGTTTCCCATCCTGAACAATGGCGCAGGAAAAAGTTTTGTATCTCATCAGTACAGTAGGAATACTAAACTTCAGTTGTTTGCTTTAAGCAATGTAAAGAGTTCCCTGTCCCAACACATATTTCAGATGTACTTCTGGCAATTTGATTTTTAAAGTAAGTGAAACCAACTGATGCAGGTCAGGTGTTTGCCAACTACGGGCAGTAACACTAGCTGAGTTTAAGGATAACCACAATCATGTTATTGTCATTGTCACCTTACAAGCACTTAGGAACTTCCCCTTCCCTTGTTCACAGAATTGTGTACCTATTTTACATTTAAATAACAACAAAAAAACCCACAACCAAACAATTTATATCCTCCAACATTGAAGGGCCCAATCTGGGAGAGTACCTGTGCACACGCTGTGCCTGTTGCACACACAGTCCCTGCACAGCAAAAAGCAATTCAAGTCTCCAACGTAGTATGTTGCAGAGGTGCCCCCTTGCCCTTTTCACTCTGAACAAACCCCAGATGCTGCAAGCACTTAATTGAAGTATTCAACTGAAACGCCTGAAACATAGGAAATCCAGTCCTGCCTAAAACATCGGGAATTTTCACCCATGCATATTAGCTATTAATCTGCTGCAAACTTCAGTCTGCAAAAAGGGGCATTAGTTCTGCAAAGCAGACATTACACTCATAGTTAAAAAACACCTATCACATCATGGTTATTATAAATTATGTTTGTCCTTATGCCCTATTTATAATAGTGATAACCAAACCAGCAAAACCTGGTACCGTAACTGCAGGTAACACATACGCATAATGTTAACATTATTGTAGATTTAGACTCTGTAAACAGCCTCAGATCACTTTACTCCTCCTTTAATGTGGTATATTAAAAAAAAAAAAAATCTTGTTGATTCGTTATTATTAAGAAATTTAAGAGAATTTTCTCTTAGAGCCATCACTAAATACAATTCTTCACATACACCTTCTCTCTCCCCCTCTAAATTACTTCTTTGTTACACACTGATTGTAGTCAGAAACTGTTCTTGGTTGAAGTCAGATAACAACATTGGCCATCCCAGGATTTGAAAGGTCAAAGAATTTTTCATTGCAGTAATGTTCAGTCATACTATACATTCATGGCAAAGACTTGTTAAGCAAGACTGGTCTTTAAGTAACGAGTTGGAATGCCTTGAAATCCTTCAGTATATATCTGATATGGTGAGGATGCAGAATATCTGCTTTCTCTTTTTTTTTTTTTTTTGTAGAAGTTAACATTCAGGGAAAGAAAAGAAATAAACAAAAAAAGAAGAGACATTTGAACAAAATTTCCCCAGAGCAAACTGATCTGTTTGGACTCCTCTATAAAGCAAGCTTTCCTGATGGACTTAGTCTTTTACCTAATTTTGTTTTGTGGATATAAAAACTGTGTGCCATAGATGCAAGCTCACCCCGCATCTGGGGAGTTGGCAGTTATGGGGGAGGCTGTGGGAGTCAGTTTTCTATGTTTTATTATTTCCTTACTCGTTTTTTCCAAAGATTTTTGCTTTTTCACTTCCTGGTGCTTGTTCCACAATTCTACCCAAGATGCATTGAAAGCAGGAGAGAAAGAGAAAGAGTCAGCAGCTAGTCAGACAGGTGAAAATGGGGACAAAACTTGAAACAAAAATCCCACCCTCTTCATCTCAGAAAAAAAAAAATAGAAATTTATTATAACTACTGGGTGCAGGTTTAGTTAAAACCAATTTACAAGAAATCAATGTTAGCGTATTTGAGCACTGTATCATCTCTCATTTACAGAATTCCAAAGTTAGAGATGATTTCATACAGTGAATCAACTGAGCAAAAACAGCTATTATGAACACAAACAATGCAATTCATTACCTTTCCTAAGAAAGGCCTTTAAGACTATTAAATATTTCATCTTCCAAAACATAGGCATCACAATAGTTCTAATTAACAGCAATGTTTTCACGTTTCTAGTTTGTTTCAATGAAAAGGCACAAGAACAGCAGCAGCAATCCCAAGAAAACCTAAACTGTAGGTTAACACAATATTTAACCAAAATTATATATTGAAAATTACCACAAAGTTTACAAGTACAAGTTATTTCTGATCTGACAGTATTCTCAATAAATCAGGCTTGGCTCTGCCTATAAACACGTCCTACATGTAAAAAGCAGAACTTTTCTTCATCCATTTCTTCACATTAGGTTATGAAGAAAGGAAAACAGAGAAGAATAAGCATGATAAAAATCAAGCTTAACATCAGCTTTCAAAATTTTACTGAGGTCACAGCAGTCCAAGTCAAAGGATTCCATAAGAAGACAAAATACAAAGATAAAGGAAAAAAACCCTGGAGTCTACATGCACTTCTTTCATTTGAAGCTTAACCCTAAGAAAAATTAGAGATGAAACACTTGCACCTTTCCAACACTTGCACTCTCCAGCGCTCTGAAATGCACTCATCTGCTCAGAAAAATAACATAATTCCTCTGGCAAAGGAAACATTACAAGCTGGCATGTTGAACTAAATCTGAATGCAAGGCACTGCCTTTTCTCGCTAGCATGGTTAATGCTGGAACTGCTGCAGGGGCAGATAACTCCCAGAAAAGTCACAAAGGGAAGGAAAAAGCAGCACAGTGTTCTTCAGCAGCTCTTCAAGGAAACTTCCTGACCTTAAAAAGCCACTGAAGGCACGTCAGGAATTCATTCCGCCCTGCAGATGAGTGAAATTAAGGTAAAACAGCCTCTAAAAAAAATCTATTTAGAAAAATATCTACTGAAAATAATTAAAAAAACCACAGTTTTATGGCTGTGGAGAAAGGCTTCAGACCATCATCATTAAATGTTATCAGGAGTAAGGTAACTTCAGCAAGGAGAAGAAATAGAAAGATGCCTACTAGCTGATTGATATCTACATCTGCTTCATGATTGATGGATATTCCTTCAACTTTCATAACCACACAGATGAATGAGAAAATAACTTATGGATCCAAACAGCATCCTATAGGCATACTTAGCTGAACATACACTGACATCTGGCTTCTTGAATTCTCAGACTATATGGTTTTATGCTAAAAATCACCAGGCTGAAAGCTACGATAGTTAGCAATAAATGACTTAGCCAATTTGCCTGTTAATCCATCATTAGAATTACTCTCTTTCAAAGTTTAATTTACGTCATAGGAATGTTTGAAATTCTATACTGGATCTTAGCATATTAAAGACAGCATTTTACTCTCATTTGCTCTGTAAAAGAGAAGAAAAACACCACAAACTTACAGGGTACAAAATACTACATCTATGGCTGTTAAACAAGCCCAAACAGAACAGGACAGCAGAGGAATTTAATGCTGACAACAAAGTAGGTAGCATAATCTTTTCTGTTTTAAAAAAATGTCAATATTAAGTGATCTGCAAGTATCAAATAATAATTTAAAAATAGTAATGGAAACTTCAGTAAATACTGAAACTTTCAATGTTTAATACAAGCATGCAGTAAAACCAAACCTATCACTAACATAAAGGGGGGAACTATTGGCTCTCAAACTTAAGGCCACCAGTGTCCAAATAAAAAGTTCAACATTATGGTGATGACCAAAGACCCTGGAAGCAAGCAAATAACTGGTGATCTCTTTGGAAAGGATCAAAAACATCACATTCACAATAATTTCTTAACTAAGCAATTAGACATTGAAGAAAAGCAAGATTGGTCTTCAACTGACAAAATTTGTCACTGTTTCCCTCAAAAATAAGAATATTGAATACCAACAGCCTTTACCATTTATAATGGAGTATCCTGAATACTTCCATTGTGTACAACTGGTCAGCACCTTGCTGAAAAATAAATCAGAAAAGGGGCTAAAGCAGGAACACATTTCCATCCTGAACTTCTGAAAACACAGTGAACCTCCTGACCATGGTTTCTGTAGTACAAAAAAACTACACAGATTCAGCTACTGTCACTCTAATCCCCGAGACCCAGTTTAACTGCCACATTAACATGTACTGTATGCATAGTTACTGCAGCTAGTGTTAAACATAAGTTTATTCTATCAAGCTGATCACCTACTTTTCATTCTGTTATTTCCTCTTTCAGACTAGGTCGAAAGAGCAGCAACCCTAACTTGCATTTTGTCCATACAATACCAACAGATTCATTGAGAACTTCAGCTCTGTATTTACAACCTGAGACTGTAAATGAATAAATAAAGGCTTTCTGAATTTCACTGAGTCAAGGAACTGCCAAGGTTGGAAGGAACACATGGAGATCATCTAGTAGAACCTTCCTACTCAAAGCAGGACCAAAATGACAGTAGGGTGCTCAGGACTGCTGCTGTCTCAGGAATATGTAACTATTTACCAGATGTTTCCTCCCTAAACAAGTTAGTTTGACTAAGGAAAGTCTGCATTTCATTCCAGAAATAATTCAGTCTAGCCATGACCAACTTGGTTCTGAACATCCAAAGTGTTAGCTCACACAGAAGCTTTCTTAAACAAACAAAAAGGAAGTACGATAGCCAAGCAGCTTTAAATGATTGTCTTGGAACACAAGAGGAATTTCTTTTACTTTCAGATCCCAAGAGCCAGATGAACACAGACATTACCTTGTTTTTATAGAAATAAAGATTGATTTGCATACCCTTTCATGGTTCTCAGTGACAGATAAAACCAGAAGGCGGCATCAGAAAAGAAAATGAGAAAGTCTTTTGAACTCTGATCAGATTTGGTGAAACTGTATTTTTCTTGTAATCTAATTTCATAGAATAAAAGTGGAAATCGTCAGAGCATCAGAACCACCATAAAGAATTAAAGTTGCTTGTTCTAGAACACTAAATTGCTAAAGGCTAATATTCTAGCAACAGCATTAACAGAACATTCTAATTAATACTTCTTTTGCAAAGGACTTCTTATAACGCTTCATAAACATGACTGTCTGGTCCCTATGATTTCTGCTTCTATGAAGTTTTAACCTCATCTGAAAGAAAACAGAAGTCTGAGCAATCCAATCTGAAATCTCTTCATTCTTGAGAAGAATGGTGGCCTACAGTCTGTTTTATTCTTAATGGCATAAGAAGCATTCCTCCTTATAACTATTCTACTGAAAAGAAATGCAGTTAAGTTCCCCAGAGCAAGCCAAATTGAAATGCTGGAAATTTTAATCAGGTTCATAATAGATTTCCAAATAAAGTCTAAGACTGGTTTCTGAGCATTTGCCTCCATAGATTACCTCTTGAAACAAGAAGGCAAATCAAATCAGGGGCGATCAGTATCAGCTCAGCAGGATTTAACAGCAGATAGTCTGCAATTATAAGTATATAAAGTACATAAAGTATAAAAAAATGTTTGCACCCTTTCTGTCAAATAACTACCCAATATACACATTGCCTTATTTTGTGTCATTTACTGGAAGTACAACTTCCCAGGAGCACACTGCTTTCAGAAGATTAATCTTTCATACAATGAGAAATGAAATTTTAAATGAAAATACATTCAGAAGTTATTTTAAACAGGCTATAAACAATGGCTAAAGTGTAACATGACATTTTTTGAGTCAGTGAAGGATTTTCCTCACACTTTGATGGTATACCTATCTTGCTTTCAATCTGCAGAAGGTTGGATCCAACCTAAAACTTTTGTTCGTTTTTTCCATTTTCTCTTTTTGATCTATAAAAATCCCTTTTATCTAAAACAATCTGAAGTTCACCTTTTTTTTTTCCCAGATATAGGCAAAAACTCTTATGGTGGAATACTAGGAAAATTTCTACTGAACAGCCTAGCAGATGCTGTTTAGAAGGACAGGCATTTTGTTTGATGTTGCATAGAAGGAAGATCCATCAGTCCTGCTCACTGAAACTGTAACACTACCTTTTGGCAGTTCTAATTATTTAACAGACAGGAGATCCTGAGTATCAATTCTATCAAGATGCAATCTAAATAATATAGATTTAGTCAGCAATGATTAAAAAACTTCTATTTCATGTATTCTCTTCCACGGTAGCCCTTTCCAAGGTCCCTTGGTGGCCTCATTTCCCTTTTTGCCATTTTCTGCTACTTAAAAACATAAATCACAGCAAAATGAAGGCTGTCCGAAGTGTAATGATATTCAGAAACAATTAAGATTAGAAAGCTCCTGGAGAAAACTGCCCTGGATAATTTATCCAAGAGCGAGTGAAAACACTTATGATTGTTCCTTGGTATTCATGGTGTAAATGAGGCATGTTACAGCAGCAAATGTGTTGTGTTAAAATGGAGACAATGCAAATAGAACCTAATACCAAAATAGAAGCCCCTCCCACACTTCACATGCATTTCAATACACACCAATGGAAGCAATAAAATTTTCTTCCTTTAGACTCCTTGTATCAAACTCCCTTAGCCCTTTCCCTGCAGGGCTTGGTGCCTTCGGCATCAGCTGTGGTACTGGCAGCTGCATGGCAGTTTTCAGCTCCACTCTTGGAGATGATGCAGGATCTTTGCCAACTGGAGTGACAGAACCATCTGTTGGGCTTCGTTTTCTCTTTTCTGGTTCTTTAAAGAGAAAGAACAAATTGTTGCCAAAAAAAAAAAAAAAAAAAACCCACAAAAAAAAGATAAAAAAAACCAACCAAAAAAAAAACATTAAAAAAAAACAACACCCCCAAGCAAACAAAAAAACAACTAACAAAGAAAAAAGGACCAAAAAACAAAATAAAAGGAAAAAGGAAATGAGAGCAGGCCTCATCTATCATTGTTTAAGACTTTGTAGAATCATTTGTCCCCAGAGGCAGTTTGGATTATTTCTCTGTATCAAACTGCAAAATTTGAATTGCAGTAAAACTTTCAGAACAGGATAATTAAAATTAGGCTTCCAGTGAATAACCTTGTGCAATCTTGCACAAACTGTTCCAATAGCTGATGAAGCTTAGAATAAAAGATTTCATATCCAAATGTCTAAATCTGTCATACCACAGCCTTCGTAATACCTTTGACTAGTACATTAAAGATTCTGCTAATAGTAATACTCTTCTATACAGATAATTACAGAAAATGATCAACATCTTACATGCAACAGCCAACATTTGTTTCTGAAAAGACCTACGTAGAATTGGAGGAACACCTTTTCTCTGAAACCTCTTAAATTTTCCAAGTGTGATGATCACAACTGGAAGCACCACACCACCCACTTTGGATAAAGGTAGGTAAGTCAGTAACACTGACTTACCTCCACAACCCAAAGACATATTCCAAAGTGTACATGCCTCCTTCTCCACTCCTCTCCAAATTTTCATAGACAGAGTAAACACTGGGAAGTTCACACTTAACTTGCTACCTTCAGAGAGACTGCTTCTTAAGACACAGTTCCTTATCCTGTTCTTGTTGCCAGATTTTCTCCTTCCTACATACAAGGCCTTAGTTTGATCAGATTAAAATAAATTAATCACAACTATGCTTTACTAAGATTCAATCCTCTAGATAAATAATCTGTATCTATCATGTTCTGTTCCAACAGTCTACACCATATGCAAACTGAACAATTCTAGAATTCATCAATTATCACTATACATTAAATGACATTAAGATGAGCTCTCATCTCTACAGATCATATCTAGCAATATACCTAGATAAACCCATTGAAATCAGACAGGAAATACTGAGTAGCTAAAATCTGATTATAAATCAAGATGTTGCTGAAAAACAAGAAAAGTCCTTTAAAGATTTATCAAGGCTTCAAAAGTTTGTATCAATAAATTTTGTAATTTGTGATCACAAATAAACAGATAAACTCTACTTACCATCAAAACACGGTGTCTGGCATTTTATAAGCATGACTTCACCTATGAACCACTGAGTTTTACATCAACAATTTCATAATTTTGTTTAGAATTGGTGTCAGGCTTATAATTACCAAGATCCTCATATTTTGAACTGGTATGCCAGCTCAACTTTCCTTCCTTACCTTCCTCAGCAGTCTAACAGTGATTGGCAAAGGACATCTCGAGTCCACGGGACATCTAAGCCAACTCACAAAATCCCTGGTGCAAGCAATCCAGAAGCCAACTGTAGTGTTAATTAGTTACTTCTCTGCTATAGTGAAATAGCTGTAATTTTAGATAATGAAAAGCTGAGTTGGATATAAAGCAGAGAGGTGGCATTTTGTCATCTTTTGCTCATTTCCATTAAGCATTAATTTTCTTACTTTGCATTAAGAACAAGATTTTAAGAAAAAGTGAAAAATTAAGGAGGTATTACCTAAAATAGACTTTGTCTTCCAAGATCACCTAGCAATACAAGAATCACTAGTAATGCAGTAAACATTTTTCTTACCTTTGTTGTAATAGTGAGTATGTGCTATTTCTAGAAGGCCAAAAACACTGGCCATGCCTCCCAGGCCAGCATTTGCATATGACTGCTCCAGGCTCAACACAGTACACTTCAGCAAGTCCAGCATGCCTTTATAAACCTTGCGGCTGATCTCCTGCAACAAAAATCCAATTAGTGTCAATATTTCTCAAGTCATTCAAGAGCACAAACTCCAAAACTGCTGTAGTATCAGCCTGTAAGATGCAATTTCACAAAAATCTTCCATGAACTGAACCTAAGCATAAAGTAGGTATGAGGACACTGCTGAATTTAGCACTGACCACATCCTGTATGATATCCTGCTGAGCATCTTCTTCCGACTGGATCGTGCGATTTAGCTTGCTTAGTACAAAGACACGGAGCTGCTCGCTCTCCAGCAGACGTCGGACTCTCTTCATGTTCAGCCAGCCAACACCTTGCCCATCGAGAACATTATGCACCACCTCCTTCAGGAATTGCTGGTTCTCACTGATGAATTTAGAAAGGAAACAAGGTGGCAAGAGTTAGTCTGCTTTTTATCTTGACCAGGACACACACAAATGCATTTCCAAACAAAGCTAAGTTTACAAAAACCTCAAATCTTGCTCACGGAACGAGCATTGTTCTATAGCTGTAGCATCAAACATTTTTGTTTGTCCCTTATTTTCTGTCACAAGCCATAATCAGCTCTTTCTCGAGTCCACGTAGATACTGCTGTGCTATCCACCTTCATAGCACTGCTCAGAATCCATATGAAGTCTATAAGTTGCAACCTTCTCACCTTCTCCCATGGCTACTTTATCATATCTATAGATTTTCCTTGTACTCGCAGCACTAGTGCAGCAGCCTCGGTGTACATACTGCTTCAGCTCTTTTTACCTTGGGGGAAGGAAAGGTAAAAAGAAGAAGCTCCACTGCAGTCTGCTGCATCCCAGTCTGAACCACAGTTTTTTTTGTCTCCCATCCCCATTAGCCCAAAGTGAATTTCACTCTATATATGGCTGCCAGGGAAGAAGGGAGGAGAAAGCAGAAGCACAGGTGAGGTAATGTTTAAGTTCACCACTTCAAGTCCCTTTCCAATGTTGAAAAATGGTTTTCTCAGGAACTCACAAAATCAAACTGCTTTACATGACTCAGCTGATCCTCTAAACTGGTTCACTAAACTTCTGCTGGCTATACTATTCTGTTGAGACTAAACTCAATTAAAAGAATACTGACTTAGAGCAGGGTCTTTCATGATGTATGAATACTTACATACATATTTTGGATCTCAGACAGAAAGAGGAAACTTTTTAAAGGGCAGAAAAATACACATATGTGCTAGTAATTCGAAGGCCATTTGTACAAGATCTTCTCAGACAATGCATACAGGCTTAGGGCTATAGAAAAATACTGTGTTGTTCTCAATAGTCACAGATCTAAGGATATGATGGCCACTCCAACAAACAACACTTCATGCAAAAAAAAAAAAAAAAAAAAGCAACTAAAAATATTACCTGGAATTACTACTTCGCCCCTGAGGGGATGGAGATTCTCTCTTCACTGTTGGGCTATGCTTAATGACTGAAGACTTTTGATCCACCAGGGCTCGCCTATTTCCTAAACAGGAGAGGAAACAGTATGAGAAGAAATGGGTGGAAGAAAACAGTCTGCTCCCAGGACAGTAACAAGCAATACTAAGGTTAGCTAACACACTTATTCAGATTACAGGTAACAAACTTCAAACAAAATGGAAACTCCAAAAAAGCAGCAGCATATATCATATTCTAGCATCACACATCGGCAGAAAACAGTAATGGGAGTAATGCAGAGAGAAAAAGAGAAGATGGTAATGGGAGCAGAAGGTGAAAGGCAGGAAAATTCTGGCTGCTCTGCATGCAGTTTGACAACAAGAATTGTCTTCAAATTAGTCACTGTATGTAAAAGCATAATGCATCAGGGGTGACTAGTATAGATCATATGATACTGGTTACCCAATGAGGAAAGGTAGCCCAAAGTCAGGCATAGGGGATGCTGGAAATTGTCACATCATGCACAGCTCATGCTGTAGGGAACCCACCTTCATTGCTTACTGGGCCAGCTTCAGTAATAATCTCCATTATAGTATTTAACCCAAATACTGGGACACAAAATATACAATTAGTAGCGTACTGCATATCTGCGCTCCCCACCATCAGCATAAAAAATAAAAATAAAAATCCAGCTACCAGCTTCTTCCCAGCCCTCCCTCGAAACAAAACCCAAACGATACTATAGCAGGTAGGATGCTTGAAAGCCCAAGACAACAAGGGCCGGTGTCATTTCCCTAACAGATATTGTTTAACTTGAAATTCAGCATTATCAAACCACTGTACTGCATCTTCATGGACACTATTGCACATATTGAATTTCAAGGGCACTACCAAAAACAACTGCATCACTGAGGAAAAACAATGGTGATGGATGTGCATGAAATAAAAATTAAAAAAGGAGGATGGAAAGTGATTTAACAGCAGCAATGAGATGGAGTCCCAGCATCGTTTCCCATTACAAACACAGAGCAATACACACACTTGGTAAGAACGAGTTAGCATAGTAGTTTTATGCCTGCACAACAGAGATAAAAACATTTAAAAACCAGAGAAGTGCTCAGTGGAAGTCCCAATGAGCCGGCATGCACACACAAACGAACACAAACGGACACACACACTTGCACATGCACAAAAGAGACTGAGCTACTCCATGGATATCTCATCCTCATATCTGCACAGTAACATTAAAGACCCTGCACAATTACATTCATCAAGAAAAGAACACCAAAGTGCAGAAGATGAGGTGCAAAGCACAAACACGAAACGGCAAACCCCATCACTGTTTTCTTCCAATGCATGGAATCGGTCATTAAGTTTACCCCTGAGTAAAACCCTGATATGTAGTATGTTTCTTATCCTGCACAGTTGGATATGAAAACGTAACTAACTGGTAAAAGGTTGCCAAAAACAGCTGTGCAGAATCTCTGCTAGTGTTTTCACCATACCAGTGCTGTTCCTCCTCATTTTACACAGAGGGAATGATCACTTGTCTCAAAAACAAAGTCCAAAGCAGAAACACAGAAACAGCTTTTGGCCTTTGTTTCTACAAGGTCAGAGGTCAGCAAAACATCATACCAACCTTCATTCACATCCCTTCCCACTTCCAGATTAAAGTAATCTTTACCGATGAAATGATGAGGAGGAAAAAATAAATAAATAAAATCAACATATTAAAACAAAAGCAGCAAGTTCTAATCAGATAGAATAACTCAAAAGGTAAAGTAAAACCTTCCCTGGTTTAGCAACTACTATCACGACAACCAGGCTGTTCAATTCCTTAGAGTAAGAGGTTCATTTCTCTAGTCCCTATTCACATATGTTATTACATAGCAGACAAACAAGAGAAGTTCCAATTACAAGATCGTACACCTAAGTTAGGGATGGATCTTTACTCTGAGTGAACTGAAATATGTTTATATTTTGGGTTTGATTGGAAAGTTTCCATACAGTGAACTGAAAGAACAATAGGCATGATTGAAACCTTTGTAAACTGCAGTCTCCACGGGAGGGAGGCATTATTCCTTCAGTAGTCTCCATGGGAGAGAGGCACTATTTCTTCTTACAAACAGAATGTCACTGCTCTAACAGGTTACCTAAAGCTAACCAGGAAGACAGTGGCAGTACAAAAGTAGAACCTACCTCTTTGTTCCCATTCTTTATGCTAAAGACTTAAAAATTAAATAAAACAAAATACGAAACAAAACCAACATTCACAGTGTACCTATTAACACAAGGTAGGCTAGCTAGTCTCCCACCCCAATGCAGCTCAGTTGCTGAAAAGAAGTCTGACTAAGAAACATCAAGACAATTTTTGTCTTGATAATTAAAGCAGGTACTAACACAAATTACCAAAATTCTTCACTACCAACGTTCCTTTTAGGAATTGCAGAGTCACAATAATAGTAAAGGCTGTAGAAGACAAAGGGAAAAATGGTTACCTTTCAGGCTGGGAAAGGGGGTATTCTTGTCTCTCCCAACTTTGGTTGGCAGGGCTAAATTGGACAGACTGAAACTTGTGCTGTGGTTTCTGTACAGGCTGCCTATGATAAAAGAAAAACAAAACAAAACAAAAAAACAAAAGAATCAACAAAACAAAAACTACACTGAATGACAGAATTGCAGGGCTTGGAAAGGACCTCAAGACATCATCGAGTCCAACCTCCCTGCTAAAGCAGGTATCCTACAATAGTTCTCACAGGTTCAAACCCAGATGGGTCTTGAATATCTCCATAGGAGACTCCATAATCTCTCTCAGGCAACCTGTTCCAGTGCTCCATCTCCTGTACCATAAAGAAATTCTTCCTCATTTTAGTACTGAACTTCATATGTTCAAGTTTTAGGCCAATATTCCTCCTATCACTGCACACCACCGAGATTAGCCTGACCTCATCCATTTGCCTCCCACCTCCCGTCAGATATTTTTAAACATTTATCACATTTTCTCTCAGACGTCTCTTCCAAAGGCTGAACTGACCCAGGTTACTCAGCCTTTCTTCACCGAATACCTAATGTTCTCTGCACGTACCCATATTTCCTAAATTTCCTGTAACTCGCCTTCTTATTGAAAGTCTGATTTTTTTTAAGTCCACAGATCTGACAAGCATAATATAATTTCATTTACAACACAACCATATCTGTATTCTCACTATTCTAAATTGTTTAAAAGGTAATTCTTAGCTCTTAGGTTACAATCATTGTCACTGTGTTTTTGAGTCTTAAATGTACCAGCAGTGTCAGTCTGTCTTCCTGCCATTATACAGGTAACCCCACATCAACTGTCTTCTAGTTTGGTATTCCTTTTAGGAGCAAATAAGTGGCGGGGGTCACATGAGAAAACAGTATGACAAAAGATCTCTAAAATACACAGTCCTGAAGTCAGAAGAGTGCACAGAACCTTACGAAATTCTGAACTGAACCAAAAGCACACTTTAAAATAGAAGTTTCAATTTATGAGAAAACAAAGCTTTTCGCAGCACCAAAAGATTTCTAACAACATAAAGAGTGCAACAATGCTCTGTCATCTCTTTAAGTCTGTACACCTCCTGAAAGGAACTTGAATAGAGATCCTCATGTGGAGAACCTCAAAATGTTCATCTAAATTGTCAGTGCACTATTTCAATTTACCCTGATTCCCCCCTAATCCAGCTTTATTTTAGTAACAATCTTTTTAGCAGAAACATCAAATACACTTTTCTCAGTGCTACTAACTTCTTGTCCCTCCCCCATAACAGCTGACTATTTATCTGGTTATATCTTCTTTCACACATTAAAACACTCTACATAACAAATGCTTTCCATAACTGTGGATATGATTTTTATAAATTACTCAATAATATAATTGAAAGTAAGCGAGCACAGGGAGGAAATTTAATGTAGGACCTTAACAAGTGAAGTGGTAGCATGAAAAGCATACTATTGGTTAACGCTCTTGTACCAGTTTCATAAAATCACAGTTTTTGTTTAAATGAAATGGACAGAATTTCTGATTTGTGCTCCAAAGTGCCATATAACTCAAGGGCCTAATGACACAACCTAAGTCCTTCTTAATGAAAAATTCATAAAGCAGTAGCTATCAGCAGTATAATTAAAACAGGTCTTGTGATTCTCAATACAAGTTTCTGGAGACTGGTAACAATTTGACAACCAAGTCTTCCTCTTGGCTAACCACCTCTCTGTAAGCTTTGCTAAATAAAAACAGTTTAATGAATGCATGAGCACATACTTGCAAAAGACATGATGCCCCCAAAACCTTCACTGCTGTTGTTGGAAACAGTAGAGTTTGGAGAGCTGGCCCTGGAGTCTGAATCTGCATCAGAGTCATTGGCCAGTTTTAAACTGTTTGGACGAAGTAACTTCTGAGACCTTTGAAGAAAAATGTACAAGTGTTATTAACATTTTTTTTCCCAACCAAAAACTTATCTGACTCTAGGAGGCTGATGCTGATCTTGTTTTTAGCCTGTTTTTACCACACTATCCTTAGCTTGTGGGAAAGAAAAATAGAAAAGAAAAAAAAAAAGAGAAGGAAAAAAAGTAGAGATGCATCTTTGCATTAAGGCTTTTATTACTTTTTAGGACATGCTGCAAATTTGTCTGCAACACCACACTGCTAGACTTAAGGGTGGAAAAAAAAAAATTCTGCTTTGAGAGCAACAAAGGAAAAAAAAAAATCATAAAAAAATGTTTAATCCCCTCACATTTTACCCCTGAAATAGTAAGCTTCATAACCAAAATCCCTTGAAGATGTCGAGGAATCAGTAGGTCATACACTAGAATGTTTCAATGAAGAACTGATAATCTCCCACTACTTCAATAAAATGTCAAACTACATGAAGCAGACAGAAACCCCAAGACAGCTGTACAAAACAGCAGGAGGACAGGGAGAACTCACCTGCTTCCATTGAGATTCTGGTTAAATCTTGGGGTGTAGCTCTCTTCCTGCTCATCATCTTCATCTTCTGTAGGAAAACCATACTGTGGTTCGAAGTATGGATTATCATACTCTCGTTTCCTCACCACCCCTTCTGAGGAGCTCATGCTGACAGCTGGGCTGTCACTCTCACGACGATCAAAGCTCATCTTGGGAAAGCTTGGTTGTAGTGGCAAAGAAGGGAGATGGTTTGAAAATCCAGCAACTAGCTTCTCCTCCATCTCTGCTGAATCTGCAGACTCCTGTGGACCAGTCAAATCATTCATCTGTTTGCTAACCTGAATTACTTAAAACTGAAGGGCCTGAAAAGAGCAACTGTTATAAACTGGGAATTCTGCAGGGTCTTTGCAGTTTCTGGGCCCCCACCCAAATCCCGCTGCCAGTTGCTCTAATCTAGAACTGTAGAAAAGTTACAGCATTTACGCATTGTTCTGGAAGTTTTCTTCCCTGTAAAACAGATCTTTCTGTTAAGTGCTAGGATAACAGCTCCCTGTCGTGGTTACGGAATCAACTCCCACACTTCCTAAATGAACACAGATTCAAGATTTTCCCCATCCCATTCCCTTACAACAGATCTTTCCATACTGTGTAGAAGTCACTCCTGCAGTCACAACCTGGACCACTGCTCTCTGTTAATAACGTACTTTAATGCAAGTGAGCTTTTACACACAGGAATGTTCTGTCTCAGCATAAGAAACTACTGGTAACTTCACTTTGCTTGGAGTCCAAAAAGTGCATGCAATTTAATCTCTGTTTTCAGTCCGGTTAGCTTTTGCCCCACTCAGAAAGAATTATTCTCCCACTCTTTATATCCTAATTTTCTCAACTTCAGGCTGAATTCATATCAGTACACACATGATTCACTCCGTGGATGACAGTACTGGGGCTGCTACTGGCTGTAGTACTGGAACTTGAACGAGGCTGGTTGTTCTCTTGGGAGTTCTCACTGTCCATGGCCTGTTCATCCAGATCTCCTGAATATTCTTGAAAATCATCAAACTCCACTTCACTGGCATCACCAAGGGCTGCGTGAGTCAGGGGGTCAACATCTGCAAATACATCATTTTGCATTAAAGAATACTGCCTTCCTCAGCCTTCTGTCCATCTGACTAAAAATCCCTGACAGATCTGCTCAGCAGAATACAGAAGCAGACAGAAAGGTTGTAAGGCACTTTTGGAAGACTTCTAATCCAACTGGCTACTTAAAGCTGGGTTAACTTTAAAGTTAATACAGGCTGCCTAGGGCCTTTTCTTATTGAGTTTTCAATGTTTCCAAGGCTTGAAAAATCCCCTTTGATTCTGGGGATCTGTTCAACTATGTTCACAATGGGAACCTTTTCTTATGGTCAGGCAGAATTTCCCTTGTTGCAAAATACGACTGTTACCTCTTGTCCTTGGGGCAGAGGAAACATGCTGGCATTCCTGTTTTTAGCTTATTGAAGTAATAATCTCCTGGTCTCAAAAGAAACACTGCTGCTGCCGCCTCCATATAAACCAAAGAGAATGCATTTTCCTGTCCCCAATAAAATGAAGTGACTCATTAAAGTCAGCTCTGAGGACCAAAAAGTGGGGGCAGAAGAAAGCTTGTAATATGCAGCCCATATTGCACCTTTTCTACTGGCAGCAGATTTCCAAATCTAGTCAGTGGGTTCTGTTCAGCAGCACCTACTTCTGATCTTTCTCCTCTGGTGTCTTTCAGAGGGGACTGCATATAAGCCGAAGAAATGTCTTCCTTCAGTCTGCTACTGGTAATTGACTCCTTTACCTCAGAGCAATATTATAACAGAACAATGTTTTGCTCTGATTGAGACACTTGGGGAGGCATTTCCGCACCATCACAGCACAGGTGAATGTGGAAGAGGAACCTATGTGGATCTCGTGAAAATGCAGCCCAAAGTTACTCACTTGGAGTATCGCCATTAATGTCACATTTCATCATCTCACTGACAAAGTCACCAAGCGAAGAGTAGGAGGAACTTGAGTCATCGTAGTCGACACTGTCACTGCCACTGCCACAACAGGTGAGAAAAAGATGAGTGGTAGCAGACCAGCAATAGCATCTTAAAAAATCTCATGATATAACCACTACTACTACAAAAAAAAATCCTGACAAGATTAAGGGGTCAGCTTCATGAGCAAATGAAGAACATTTGAGACAGGTGAAGAGGCAATATGGGAAGACATTTAAAAGCTCTCAGCAAGGTTAATGAGGTAAAGCATAGGTGGACAGGGAGAAGCATACAAATTCTCAGTAAATGTCAGGAGGGAAGGAAGCTTCAAGACAACTGGAAATCAAAAGAAAAGCACTTCTTTTTAATAATAACAATAATTTCCAACATGAGGACTACTGGTGCTGTGTAGAACATAAAAGAAAAACAAGTACAAGCCTGGAAGACCTCACAAGCTAAAAGAGAAGGAAGGATGATAAAACTTGATGCAAACCTCCAGCAAACAAGGCTAAAAACACATGAACAAAAAATTATTCTCACTTTACTGAATGTACAAGGTCTCAGGCAGTGGGGAGTATTAGCAAGCTTCGTGTAACTTTGATGAGAGATATGAAAGAGTGATAGGATGAGTGGGATTGCTTGAAGTACAGAAAAAAAAGTAACCAGAGAAAGAACAGCACAGAAGAAAAAAAAAAAAAAAAGAAGACATCAGATTGGGAAGTAATACCAAATGATAAAGGGGCATACAGGGAAAAAAAAAACAAAAAAAACCAGGAAAGTACAAATAAAGATTCATGTAAAATGAAGGCTTGAGAAGACATTAGTAAAGAGATAAGAAGCTGCTACAATGATGACCAAGCAGTGAGACGATTTATTTCAATATCAGTATTCTGACCAGACAGAAGAAATTAAACAAAAGCACGGAAGGCTAGAGAAAAAGGCAGCAAATGAGATGCTGGAGAAAAGGTACAGAATAATCTGAAGTAATTGTCAGGTGGCTAAAGTTATGTCCCCCCACTAACCTGTCATCAGTGGGATCAGAGTCTGTTTCTTTTTCTACTGGGACATTCAGTGCTTCAGCTAGTTGTGAATTACTGTCGTAGACACGATAGTGGATGGGCTGCAGTTGGTGAGCATACCACTTCGGTTTGTCACCAATCAGTGCTGGGTCAAACATATCTGCGCCAAAAACAAACAAAGAAACAAGGAAAAAGTTAATTGAACTCGTTTATTTGTGTCAAAGGCTTCATTAGTAGTGAGGCTATCCCTTACTAAGTCTTGCACAAAACACGGAACAGTCATCCTAAATAAAACAACAACAACAAAAAACAACTACAAGAATTCTTCTCTGCTAGCAAACAAGACAAGAAGTAAAGTCACCTGGAGAAGTAAATGGCATTAAAATACGTAAAATAGAAAAATATTTATTGAACTGGATTTCTCTACCCAGAATGAATGTCACACTGGAACAGGTTCCCCAGGAGCCTGTTGGAGTTCAAAAAGTGTTGGGACAGTGCTCTCAGACACATGGTTTCATATGGTCCTATGTGAAGTCAGGAACTGGACTTGATTATCTTTGTATGTCCCTTCCAACCCAGGATAGTCTATGATTCTATGAATAATATGGTATTAAGCTAAGTTTGCCCCCAGAATCTATCTGCATTTCAAGTTTCTGAAAGACATCAGAAGTGCAGGAAAGGGAAAACCAAAACTTACTGTTATGAATTCTCTGAAAAGCATAGTTAGTAGGGTTGAGTGACCATTCTCCAAAATATTCTACTGCTTGCGTCCTGGAAAGTTTGTCCGCAAAAGGTGTTTGCTTTGGCCTAGAGGCAAGAAAGGAATTTGCCTGGAAGGCCACTACTGGCCGTGGAAAAAGACGAAGAGTGCGAGTATGCATCTGGAATCCTTGCAAAACATTTGGTGAGTTGAAGAATCTCACCATAGCAACCCTAAAAAGAAGCAAAGGACATATGTCAGATAAAAAAACAGAACATAACAGAAGACAGAGAGCCTTTTAAAGGTATGTATTAGGTGAAATTTCAAATCTATGAAGAACAGTAATGTAGTGCAAGAAGTTGTCTTCTTAAAAAACTTAGTAAATCAATCCATCAGTCACTTGGTTTTCATTTACCTGCTCAATACCAAGAGCCACCCAATGACAGACATTGCTCTCAGTCCTGTACTGCCTTCAAGTGCAAGCTTGACGAAGACTCAACACTGCTTTCCATTTCAGTCTCACCTGGTAGCCACATCCACAGAGTCCACATCATTTCCATAGATCAGAGGGTTGAATTCTGTGGAGGGAGTAGACTGCAAATCATTCTGTGGTCTTCCCAGCAGCAGCGGCACCTCCTGCCCCTCGTGGAATTTCTCTAGATTAAGAATGGGCTGAGTATTCAGACTCATGCTGGCCAGTGCCTAGCAAAGGACAACATTAGGCACATATTCAGCAAGAAGTTATTTGAGAAACAAAAGTTTAGAGCTACTCTCTAGGCAATTGCAACAATTGTTCACACTCCAATAATTTGTCTTAAATCATCTCTTCTACACTGAGTCAAGAAATACCTCCAGGCCCTCCTTTATGTGGACTGTCCAAATGATCTCCTCAATAATGAAAACGCATGAGGGTTAACACGGAAGTCTGCTTGTCTAGACCATCCGTGACATGAAAAAAGATAGTCCACATCTGATCTCTAGTTGCATGATAAACCATACAACATATAGGAGGGTTATGCCCATGTGTATTTAAAACACACACAAAGATCAAGATGCCTTATAACTTGCCTTGCAACTTGGCAGTTCAGTCAGTGATTTTGACAACCCAGGACAGCACGCAGGCAGCCATCACACAGGTATCTATCTTCCAGTGTGTCTGCAAACTACATTTCTAATTTGAATAATGTCTTCATCTCTCCATAAAGCAGTCATCCTCTTCAACCCTCATAATATCCTCAGGAAAATGCACAGGAGTGTCATGACTAGTAAGTCAATCCTTAATACCCAGATCCAACCTAAATCTCCCTCATTTCTCCCATTTGTCAACTGAGTCTTCACTAGTTTAATCTCAAAAATAAACAAACAAATAAAGTAAAACAAAAAGACCAAAGTAAAAGGGTAACATGGAAAACCGGGGGGAAAAGAATAAAATAAAGAACCTTGTTGTCAGGAGTGAGCAGCTGTTGCTGAGTGATTGCAGTCATGCTAACCAGACACTGGAGGCAAGATGGAAGATCATATGATAACACCAGCAGAGCCAAGACGAACACATGACCACAGAGATACAGATGGAGGGAAAAAAAAAATCTATTACTACCAAATATCACAAATGAGAGGAAATAAAAAGGGATGCAAGACAGGCTCAGGGAGAGATGTCTAACTGCCCCATCCCCAAAATATCCACATTCGGCTACAGTTGCTTTGGAAAGTGGAAAGAATCCTTACTGATGAAGCTAAGAACTTTCCAATGCGGCTTAAAATCAGGTATTTTGAATATTTGTGATTGACAATAAGATCAAAACGTATAGAAAGAGTGTTAACCTTAGCTGCAATTCAGTCTTCTCTACTTTGTATTGCAAACCAGTAATCCTCATTCACGTTTGCCAATGTTCAACTATCGATGATGATGAATGTAGGAATATATAAGGACCAAAGACTGTTTGGGTCAATACCAATAATTTTAAATAGAAGTTGTTTAAGGAAAATGTAATTTGTTCTGATATTCAACTTTGCTTTAATGAGAGAATTTTGCTCAACAGTGCCTGAAATTGCAAAGGGATGAGGCAGAAGTAAGGGTAAGGTGGATCTAACAAAACTCCATGCAACACACTACTTCCATCTGAGCTGACAGTAAGTAGTGGGTTATTACAGAGGTCACACACTTTGCTCTCCTGGGCTATAAGGAGAGAGAGGGGTGGCATCATTAGGTCCGTAAGAAAATTTACCTTTAAATACTGCATGCAGCATGCATAAGGAAAACAGAAATAAAGAAATAAAGCCTGCTTGACACAGTCAGCCAGGGTGACCCAAGCTGACTAATGGTTTAGCAGGACCTAAGAGAAGAGACTGAGAACTTGCACAGATCTGTGAATGGAGGGAAAACACAGATGATCATAGCTAGATGGATCAAGTCAGAGTTCAGTCCTACATGGCAAATGTAAAGGAGGAATCTGGAACTCTCTACACCGAATGGAAACAAATTAGCCCCAAACAACAGTAACAAACAGAAACCATCTACTGCACCCAAGAGCATTTCAAATTATTTTTTAGCTGGTGTATGGGGAATGCTGAATCTCTGAGGCCTGAACCTCTGATTGATCACCTGAGGTGAGCAATGAGTCAGCCATGGGAGCACAGGTGAAGGCAATTCACCTGTGCTGCCAGAAGGGGTGGAGCCTGGCTGCACCTCTCCTTGACCCATTTAAGAGCTGACTACCAGTAGGAAGGAATCTCTTCTGGAGATTCACTCTGCTGGAGTTTTGCAGTGAGCCCAGGACACAGATAAGCTTTCTATATGTTCTCTTTTTATTATTATAACCTGCTTAGCCAAACTCTCTTGTTCATTTCATAATTATAACATCTTTATATTCATTGATTATATACCTGGCTAATAAATTAACTGTGGTCATAGGCCTCAGTAATCATTTTTCCAAATTAGCTCTATGCATAAAGGGAGAAAACCAGCAGCTGGATATCTACACTTAACTGTGTCAGTTAACACCACTTTTGAAGCTTAAAATGCTGCTGTGTTCTAACATAGGGGATGTTCTCTATGTGCACCTACATAAATAAGGCACCTTAAATACACTGACAGAAAATCCCTAGGCCTGTGCTTCTCCTATAAAAGTGGAAGCAGTAGAGACAGAAAAAAAATGGACAGGGAACAAAAATGACCATGAAATTCTTTGAAGAAACTACATAGACCTAAAACACAATGAAAACCTCAGGTTTAGATTTGTCAGAAAAAGTAATGGTAGAAAAGCACAGAAGAACTCAGGGGGTTCAGAAATCTTCTAACTTCTTTTAATCAGCCACTCTGATTAGCTGACCTCTTGAACAAGTGCATTCTAGTAGTCTGATACCTCATTCACAACCATCTGATATGTTAGGTTGCAAGCCTGCTTTTAGCATGTACAGCAGAAGAGCTGTGCAACACTACATCTGCTACATTTTACTGAGTCTGAGTCCATTTCCCCAAAGTGCTTATTACCTGTTTCAGATGCTTTTTCAGCTCTGAAGCTTCTGGTTCTGGCAGCGCTGGCAAAGATTCCGCATTTGTGGGAACGATCACCTGGAATTAAGCACAGGTAACAAATGAAAAATTGCCCAGCTGGACCCATTTCAAAACAATCTCCTACATCCCCACTGCTGAAACTGAGGAATAAAAGTCATAAAATAAAACTTAAACAAAAAAAAAGTTTTTCCTTTTCTTACAACTATTTAACGTTACTTACACTGTCATAAACAACGCAATATTATTGTTTAAACTTAAAAGATTTATTCAAATTTCTCTATACTCACCCTTTATAATCTCCATTAAACATAAGATGTTATACATGTTTCCCTTTAAACAGCCTTGCTCATGCCACAGTAGAAAGTGGGATACTTTGTCTCATTTGAATCATAACAAAATATGTTGTTGGAAGGCTCTTATCAGATCTAGATTCCTATCTAGGGCTATAGCAGGCAGGGTTATAGTTACCCAAAGAGATGGCTCAATCATTTATAGAGCATTTACCTTCTATGAAATAGGTAGATGGATTAACTGAAAAAGAATGCTTTAAGAACAAAATCATATAAAACTTAGGACAGAATAGACAAAGGCAGACTGAGGCTGATCTACAAGCGCAAACATTCTTAAATTCTTAGAGTGTATACTGGTAAAAGACCACAGTTATCCAGAAACAAAGCCTCGAGTCTTTAAGAGCATCGCTTACCTTGTTGGTATCCAGGTCGATAAGCCATACATCATCAGGCATTTTGAAATCTAGTTTGTAAAGGAAGAAACTTGCTGGAACACCAATGATGTAAGGTGTAGGGGCTAGAAGCAACTGAAAGACAGAGATATGGTAGTAAGGGCAAGTTCTGCATTTGATATCACCATATTTTTGCCAATTTTTTTTTTTTTAAATAGCATAGAATGTTTACCACAGAAAAGGCAACACACAGAGCACTGATAAGTCATTGATGTCATACAATAGGAAAAAAAACAAAAACCATCCTGCTCTAAGAGCTTTAATTCTCATCTAGAAGAAAAATTCGTAATGTTTTCAGAGATACACTTTTCATAGAGCTACGCAGCTCTAATGAAACAATTTAGCAAAACTAACAGCTTACAATATCATGAACCAAACAAACACATGTACATCCTCAGCTCAAAGTGAGTCCATGCTGTTGTAAATATAGCATTACCCTTCCAAAAGCTTCATCCTTGCCCCTACCCTTATAATGATAATATAATTTCAAAATTATAACAAGTCGACGAAGCAGAAAAACAGAAGAAACATTTTTTTTTTCTTAATATAAGCGTATGTGGAAAACCTAAGGGGAATTTCTTGTTGTTTCTGATAAGGGGATCAGCAGAGGGAAAAAGGCTTAAATCAATAAACTACGTAACAGCTTGAGATCAGCTGCTTGGGAGGCTGATTTATCCTTTAATCTAGAACACCTGGTTACCTCCAAGGGACAAGAACAAATCTGCAGCATCAATTGCAGAATAGCACTGAAGGAATAAGATGGCCTCAATTCTGCCTTTCCAAACAAAATAATGAACTCCTGACTACTGGTGAAATCCAGGCTCCCAGCTGAAGTAACTTCGTACTTTATACTTCCAAGGAAAATAAACTGCAGGCAGAAGTTTCTACACTCTGAAAAAAGTCATAATATTGTAGATCCATGGTGTTTCAAAGAAGCTACTTCTTTGAACCACGGTATTCACCGAGCAAGTTTTAATGATATCCTAAATAAAAAATGTTACATACAATTTAAATAGTCAGCGGTGTTCAAAGAACATTCTTTGCAAGTGTTTATTACAGTCCCTGAGAAATCATGGTGGGTGGAAATGAGAACTACTACGTTTTCAGAGATAACAGAAATATCCTTTGCAAAAGACCAATGAAGGAAAAATATGTACCTGTTCTGCAGAGGCCATGCAGGTGGGGAGCAGAGGGATCACTGGAAACATATATTCTAATGGGTAGATCATAGCCACAAAGGCCATCACAGACATTGAGAGTGCATTATAATCCCGGGACTGCAGTACAACCTTCAAACACAGAAACTCACATTAGCTTTTGCAGCAACCATTTGCTTCCAATACTCCCAACCAGGGGCATAAAAATATCATGGCCTACAGGACCCTGTTTTGTTGGCTGTGAACTGGAATGACCCTCTGTTAATCCATCTGAAAACAAACTTTAGAGTGAGAACAAGACTTTTCAAAACAGGCACCTCAAAAAGACATTTTCCTTCCACCCTTCCAGGCAAATTGATATCAAAGACTCCAGTAGACAGCTGTTCTCCAATCTACCCTGGCTTCTGAAAGGGTAAAGCTTCAAAGATTACTCTTCCCTTCCTACCTTGTGCTCCAGAAGGATGCAAGTCAGCACCTGAAGGCAGGCATCCACTCCCAGCAACTCCAAAGGCAGATGTAATGGAAAATCCACCAAGGTGAAGCGGGATGGATCAGGAAGAGCAAAGGTCAAAGCTGGCTGCAACTCATGCGGCAGAACTTCCACGTCCACCCGCTTCTGACCAGCAACAGGCATCGGCGAACGCAGCAGCCGGTATATCCAGGCCTCAATCTCCCGCAAGTCGTGTAGCAGTGCACTGGACTTCTCCTCCACCAGAAGTGAGCCTGTGAAAATCCGCCACGTCGTATCCCTAAAGAGGGAGAAATGAGAAGATTAATACTCCAACGGCTTTCATTTGACAGCCATTTGGCTTGGCTCTTCAAGGGAAAGGGCAGAGTCACCAAGAATTAAAAGACCCTACTAACATGCTAGGCCAGACAAGGGAAGAGAAGGGCAGGGATTTAAACTAGCTGCAACAACTGTGGGGAACTACAGATCTTTCTGTGGCACAATTCAACACGAGTTTCCCACACTGGTCCAAGAGTCTGTGCATTCATTTAGATGGTTCATAAAGGTTACCCGGGTGCTTGAAATTCAGCGTGCAATTGGAGTACTCCCATATCTTGCCCAGAACCACAGCAGCCTGAATGACTGGATTCTTTCCATCAGTCCTACAAACTTTTGCAAGAACAGGAACTAGTATCCTGAGATAATAAGCCACGCCAAGATGTCCCAGATGTTTTGTCATCATAAAACACTTTTACATTGAGTCTCAAATTGCTTTGTATTGAGACGAATAACCCATGGCAGAAATGGTTGCATTTCAGCTGAGAATATACATTTCTTAAAGTTGACTGGGAAGCATTTAACTACCTTAGCAAAAGCCTTAAACTATCAACCTCCAAACAAGCAGCTCACAGGCAGGCTGGCCAAAAAGTGTGTACAGTGTTGCTCAGGGCCTTAAGAGCTTCAAAATTTGAAACTGGATCTCACAAGGGACATGAATTGGATAATCTATGTCAGCCCTTAATGTTGCAGTACTGCATTCACAATGGCTGTGAATCTGTTCTAGCCACTGTGAAATAGCTTAATAAATATCTCCAGTCACTGTAATAGATCTGTTAGAACAATATGGCTCAAATTAGATGTTCTACCTTACAGTTCATACCTTAAAAAATTAAACAAACAAACAACAACAAAAAAAAAACCCACAAAATTGGCATTGGATGCCTCATAAAGGATTAAAAAGTTACGGAAATTTGGAAGGATCAAAAGAAGAGCAATCTGAAACCACCATGCTTCTCATCCACCAGCTTCCCTTCAGCCACTTGTAATGCAAAGGACATGAAGCTGTTAATGGACACACACAACCTTCTGCAACATCTAAAGAGTCAGTTTCACTTTTATTCTGCCATCACTTTGAAACCATTCTACTTCTCCAGGTCATAGTCGCAAAGCACACAGTAATTCAAACTGGCAGCTTTGCTCTTCCTACTGATGGATGCTTAGCAGTCTTCATCTGTCACTCAGTTTGTCTTCTCTCAACTCTACAAACTTCGTCCAACAACGGCACATCTTTAAAATACCACATGCCATTCAAACACTAGAATATGTCAACACTCCTTTCAAAATTCAGATGAGTTCATAGAGCTGAAGAAAATCATGAAGTTTAGCTCTTCTCTGCCTCAGGAATTATCAGACTAAACCAAGTGATGATATAAGCTCCCTGCATACTTCAATTTAATAAATTATTTCCATTCTCAGAGAATCACTTTTTCCCCAACAACCAGTGGATTCAGGCCATAAATCTGTCAAAGCAGGAATCAGTCAGAAACCCAGAACACTCCTACAACTATTCTAGAGCAGCAACCCAACAAGTAGATTACTACGCTGTGAACTGGAGCAGACTTCCTCTTTAATACAAGAGGAAAGGAACTTATAAATTCACAAGTGTCAGATGCCCTGGCATATTTTACTTTTGACAAGTTTTAGTTGGAAGGTAAAAAGCTATAAAACTCAGATTATGAACTATTTCACAGCCCCCACTCATCTTCACAGTAAGATAATTACCTCCTTCTCCACAGATTCATTTTATATTTGCTCTTTTTAGTTCATGAGTCGGAAAGGAAAAAATAGCTTCCTGGAACACAGAGTCTAGGCACAATAATACAAATATACATCCACAATTGATACACTTGATACCTTCTGTACCCTACAGCACAACAGCCTTTGTTGTGTACCTAGCATTATAATAACAGATAATACACCAAGATACTGTTTAATCTGCTCTTGCAAACCTCCGTTCCTATATACTTCATAGACAACTCAGTTTTCTGTCTCTCCTCTTTCTCTCCTCCTCAAATCTTGTACTTCGATCTCTTTCAAACATTCCTGTTTCTCTTATCTCTTCTCTCCCACTGAAAGTGGGGAGAAGTGGAGCTGAAGTTCAGATTATTTTTCATAAACCTATAAAACACACTTTCAGCATTTCCCTCTGGCTTTAAGTTGAAATTCACCCTGTTACTTCTTACTGTTTCTAATCTGTCAGAGAATTATTAGTCCTGATGTGCACTACTACAGAGCTTATACTCCAAAGCAATAACCACAGCAAAAGCACTCAGCTTCCGAGAAATTGTGTCAGTTGCTAGCAGCATAGTGCCTTCATGTTAATATTAAAAACTAAAATCACACCAGGTGACAGAACAAAATAGAGAATTCTTACACAAATCAACACAAAAATTTCCCTTTTCTGTTGTGATTTCCGGTTAAAATAGCAAAAAGATCAGCCACCAACAGAAGACCAACTGCAGAAGACCAACGTCTTCTACAACCTCGCCTATCACAGCAATTTGCCATGACAATTTGACATTTGGAAACAAGCAGAGAGAGGATACAATTCTTTCTTCCCCCTCAACATACCTCTGGACTCCACGAGGAATCCCCAGCTTCTTGCCCAACAGTCTCTCACTACAGCAGTCCACAAGTCTCTTGAGGGTGTACAGGCACTCGCGGAAGGTGGAGAAGAAAGGATAGTGACTAAGGATGCACAGAGAAGTCAGGGTGCTGTTTCGAGAACGATGGCTGCCTTTGGCCAGACGCTTACTGTGTGGCGACCGGCTCACATCTGGGGTAGGCTCTGTACTTGGGGCCTGCAGTGAAGAGCCACTCTCTGAACTCTCAGTGCCCACATCCTCTTGGGGTGCAGACGCATCCCCAGACTTAGCCATTTTCTGTCCCTCCCGAGAAGCTCGATGTCCTCCTGTGCCTTCTCCCTTCTCCTTGGGTACTCGCTTCTGGAAGGAGCGGTAGAAGTTGACACAGATTCCATAGCGAATGACACCCGTATCCTTGTCTGTGAGTGTGAAGACAAAAGAAGTGTCATCGCGGAAGCTCATACGTTTCTGCCGCACGCTCAGGCATCCTTCTGGTTGGCAGAAGAACACAACATCAGGTGGTAGAGGAAAGTCCACGTGGTCTTCTAGAGGATAACGTCGTAGCAGCTCAGGAGTCTGAGCAACACTATCACTACTTGGCTGCCTACAAAAACAAAACAAAACGAAAAAACAACAAGCATACAGAGTTTAGTTAACATCACAAAAAAGTCACCAACAAAGTACCAGTGAATATATATATGTATAATATATATGTAAGCTTGTGCCTTTGCAGTAATATGCACTAAATACAGAAAGACAAGTCTTCTCAGACATTCAGAAGAATTACACCTAATAAAACAGAATACTTCCAAAAGACATTGCTACTGATGTGCCATGGATAACAAGCTGTAATAATAACAGCCACATGGACTACCTAAGGAAGGAGGAGCAGTGGAAGCTACTTCAGTCAACTCCACCTCCTGTCCTTAGCAGCTGCTGAAGCACCTGATACATGAGACAGCAGGTCTCCAAGCAGTAGCAATCTAGCGTCTACTGCCTATCAAAAGGCGAGAGTAGTGTGGGAGTCCAGAACTGATGCTAGCAAGTCTTTAATTGAGAAAAGAGACACTATGAGCATCACTGGAAGAGGCAGTTAACATTTCTTCCTTCTTTTCCTAGTCACTTTATGACCTACATACTGAAAACTGGGTTATTTTTCCCCACAGACAACGAGAAAATAATTAAACTACCGAATTACTCTGCCAGTAAAATACAATAATAAAACAGTTACTACTTAGAAAATTACTTGTATCATTTCCTCTACTTAGCCTCAATATTGCACTCAAAGCATTTAAAAAAAAAAAAAAAAAAAGTAGATAAAGCAACAAGCTGATGCACAAAAACCACTTATGTTCAGAAATGAAAGTACAATACATTTTGTAGCACATCCATTAAATAAACTGGCAGAAATTTACCACACAAATTTCAAAAGGAGAAAAATAACATTTGCTGTGCACCTGCACTTTAGACAAAAAGCACACCAACCCCATATTCTACACACTCCTTGAGCAGGTAAGTTTAACATTTTATTAACTGATAACTAATAAGACTTAAACAAAATAAATTAAAAGCATTAATGTAGTTTTTATGAGGCTAAAAGTATTAGGAAAATCAGACAAGTAAGGCAAGTTTCAGACTTTTTTTAACTGAGTTTACAGATTACTCTTCAAAAGCCAGAGAAGTAACCCCCACCAGCATTTTGCTTACACACAGCTTTCAGTATTTTCAGTTCGTGAATCACCCTGTTCTGATGTCAACAGAAGCAAAGACGATTAGACACACAAGCTATCAGAGTCATGTATAAACGGGCTATTCTTAGTCACTCTTTGTAGAGCCTTGAAGAGGAGGATCCAAACCACAAGCAAAAAAGCTCTAACTGCAGTAGTATCTTTCAAAAAACACACCAGTCCTACATGCCCCCAGTCTGCATTCATTCCAGACAGTGCTTCCTACGCACAAAGTGCGGCCTCATAAGTGCTATATGTTCCCACTCTACTGCCTACACAAAAGCACAGCTCAGAATCTCTTACATTACCTGGCTCCGATGATAACAAGGTAGTCGAGTAACCGAGGGCAGCTTTTCTTTTTCTGCACCATTGTCCTTGACCCCTTCCTATGTCATCTCAGTGAATTGCCGTTCATCAGCCCAGCAGCCCGTTGGCCTGTCAGCTGTGAGCAACTGCCCCAGGGAGCAATTCACTTGGAAATGTCCAGCAAGTTCAACCTATAATCAAGAAAAGCAAGAGCGTCAGAGGCACAATCAAGAACACCAAATACACAGATATTATTTACATTTTCTAAAAGTCTGTGTTTTAGGCAGTCATGGCCATCCACAGACCTCTCTCTTTTCATCAGTATAAATACACAATCTAGCATTAAACGTCCACCTTCCCTTTTTTGGATTTCTTCTTCAAAGATTTAGTATCTAAAAGGATGATGACAACAACCAAAGAGTGTTAGACCAGTATTTGCAGGATCTCACCTTCCTGCTCCTGGTTGCTGACTCACTGCAGCCAACACAAACAGGCACTACAGCCCTGCCTTTCCCTGCATCTGCCAAAACCTTGCTTTCAGCCCAAAGTTGTCCCTTGCTTTGTACAGGTACGAGTGCTCACACAGTGACAAGGCGAATCAGACTGGGGTAACAATATGAAAACTAACACTCTTCTTCTTCCTCCCTTGTCCACGCCACTTCTGTTTTTACTAAGCAGCCACTCATGCACTGGGAGCAAGCAGCCAAGTACTATCACACAACTACAGATTGGAGCTTACTTCTCTACAAGCAATGAGGTAAAGTAGTTTCTTCCTCAGATCTGCTACCATCCTTCCTCTGGATTTTACAAACTAAGATATTAGAATAGAAAGAGATCAAAGATTGATGAAGATCTTTTGGTTGTTTATCCCATGTCTCCCCTTTCACGTTACCAACTGAACCTGAACAATATCTTGACCCTGAGATACTATAGGCTTTGACATGATGGCCTGTTCTCAAACTGCTTTAACTCTAGGTTGTTTCTTTCTGAGCAGAGCCCCGGCAGTGTGCTTTTCTCTGTACAAATATACTGGATCCAGCCGTTGGAAGGTCAAATTGTTGAGCACTGTTTGAAACTCCCTGCAGCTGCAGCTCAAGGGAGAAACAGAAATGAAGGCTACCATGGAAATCTACTGCAGAAACCCATCATGTTGCAGGGATCAGCACTGTTTACCCAAGCACTCATAAGGACAGTTTAGTGAGGATAAGCACTACCCACATACTGCAGAAGCATCAGCAACACTCAGGAATTGGTGCAAGCTGACAAAGGTGGCAAGACACAAAGACAGAATTCAGAGCAGCCACTGCTCTGTGGTATTCCAGTAACTGGGGACAAAGAGTGCTCAAAACAACACTTCTATTTATTGGCACTACGCTAATTTTCAAAATTCCCAGAGCACCACATTTTAGGTTGTGACAGAACTTCTCAAAAGAGAAGATGTGTGGTGTTCTGCAAGCTCCTCCCAGAAATATATGTTTATATTTAAGACACACAACAGGAAATGCATCACACCACAGGATGGACAGAATAGCACGAAAGACTCTTTATCAGATCAGAGACATCTGTGTCAGACCAATACCCAGCACTAGTCCACACAAATGTGGTGTCCTTGTCTCATCTACACCTCAGCGGCTGCAGCCCTTATAAGTGTCTTCTATTTGCAGACACAGAGCCACAGGAATAAAGTCAAGGAAAAGAGGAATTTGACAATGAATAATTTGACTGCAGATTTGATAGCCCAGTCTTACACTCACCTATATGAAAGTTTTCATGAATTTAAATACGTTTGCTCTAAAGAATGATATGAAGCTAGCAGGAGATCATTTTGCAACAGGCAGATGCAAAGCCCTGCCTTCTGAGTACCCCAGTTCAGAACAGTAGCAGAATGAGGTCTGTTTTGCCATTGTTTCCAGCTTTCATCTGATACAACAAATGCACCTCACAATGTGGCAGTGTACGGATCTTAGAATATAAATCAATATCAGACAATACAATTTACTGACTGCATAAGTAAAGAGCATAGAGTGCAACATTAATTTCTAAGACTAAAAAAGAGGACCTTTGTGAAGGACAAAGCAAAAATTGCAGAACAGAAGCCATAGGAATTTTGGTTCACTGAAATGTTATCTTGCAAAAGACCAGATTTCAAACCATGCCCAGAAAGAACAAAATTCTCAGTTCTAAAACGTCATTGGAACATCTTGGATTTCCATTTATATCCAGCCAAGACAATCTGTACCCAGTGCAAATCTATAGTGAACCATAGCATGTTGTTTACTGTGAAATCAAGATACTTCATACCAGTCAAACTAAACTGGAAGCTGAAGCAGACATAAATGTGGCCAGGAGTTTTAACACCCACTGCTTGGCTGACAGGTTTCCTTTTGCTACATTATGCACCCCGAGTACGCCAAGAGAGCTGTCTGCCTGGTTCTCAGAAACAGGAACATGGAGCTCAGGACCAGCCAACCTCACCTGTGTGGCCAGGAACCCCATTTCACTCATTGTAGAAATTAAATCAACACAGTCTGAAGAACGGTATGAACTATTCATGACAGTTTTGATCCATTTTTAGACATTTTAATAATCTTAGAGGGAACTTTATCGCTGAAGCTTTGGTTATTTCTTCTTCCCAGTCTGTGTACTTCCAGCCATTACTTCTGTTCTAGCACATACTCTTTTTGCTTGCACTAAGCTTTTAAAGAAGCAGACATGCAGCTTCCATCTCACATGAGCCATTTAACACCATCATTGCTTAACAGCTATATTAAACATTGCTAGCAGTTTTATTCATAAAAATATACAATGTCCCTAAGAAACCCATTATGCTGTTTGTCCTTTATCCAGACACTACAGAGATCCTACAAGCACAACAAACACAGGCAGAGGGCAAGTGGGTCCTGATGAGATGCATCCCAGAGTTCCAAGGGAATTGGCTGATGCAGTCACCAAGCCACATTCGACGGTCTTTGAAAAGTCATGGTGGTCAGGTGAAGTCCCTGCTGACGGGGAAAAAGGCAATATAGTACTCATTTAAGAAGGGTCGAAGCCTCATCTTGGTAATGGGGAAGATCAGGGAGAAGATCCTCCTAGAAGCTATGCTAAGACATATGGAAGAAAAGGAGGTGATATGGGATAACTAGCATGACTTCACCAAGGGCAGGTCCTGCCTGACCAACCCTGTCACTTTTTATGATGGTGTAATTGCGCCAGTGGACAAGGGAAGAGCCACCAATGTCATCTATCTGGACATCACTAAGGCTTTTGACACGGTCCTTCATTATATCCTTCTCTCCAAATTGGAAAGATACTAAGTTGATGGGTGAATTGTTCACTGGACAAGGAATTGGTTGTGAGATTGTACCTAGAGAGTGGTGGTCAATGGCTTGGTGTCTGGATGGAGATCGGTGACAAGTGGTGTCCCTCAGGGATCAGTACTGGAACCAGTACTCTTCAGCATCTTCATCAATGACACCGCCAGTGGGATCAAGTGCACCCTCAGCAAGATTGCTGACGACATCAATCTGTGTGGTGCAGTTGACACACCCAAGGGATGGGATTCCATTAAGAGAGATCTGGACAGGCTGGAGCAGTGGGCCCAGATGAATCTCATGGGGTTCAACAAACCCAAGTGCAAGGTGTTGCAACTTCGGTCATGGCAACCCCCAGTATCAATACAAGAAGATACAGCACAGCCCCACTGAAAAGATCTTGGGGGTACTGGTGGATGACAAGCTGGATACGAGCCTGCAATGTGCCCCTGCAGCTTTCTGCTATATCCTTGGCCGCATCAAAAGAAGTGTGGCTAGCAGGGCAAGGGAGGTGATCCTGCCCCCCTGCTCTGCTCTGGTGAGACTTCACCTGGAGTACTGCATCCTGATGTCGAGTCCCCAGCACAGGAGAGACGTGGACGTGTCAAAGCATGTCCAGAGGAAGGACACAAAAATGATCCAAGGGATGGAACACCTCCCCTTCAAGGACAGGCTGAGAGAGCTGGGGCTGTTCAGCCTGGAGTTCTGGGGAGAACAGAGAGCGGCCTTTCTGTATCTAATGGGGGACTATAAGAAAGAAGGGGACAGACTCTTTAGCAGAATCTGCTGTGACAGAACCACAGAATTGTAGGAGCTGGAAGGGGCCTCCAGAGAATATCGAGCCCAATCCCCCCTTCCAAAGCAGGCTCCCTAGATCAGATTGCACAGGTAGGGGTCCAGGTGGGTCTTGAATTTCTCCATAGAAGGAGACTCCACAACCTCTCTGGGCAGCCTGTTCCAGTGCTCTGCTATCCTTACTGTGAAGAAGTTCTTATGCACATTTGTGTGGAACTTCCTGTGCTTCAGTTTGTGGCCATTTTCCCTCGTCCTATTGCTGTGCACTGCTGAAAGGACAAGAGGAAATGGTTTCAAACTAAAAGAGAGGAGATTTAGATATTGGATTTAGATTGAATATAAGGAAGAAATTTTTAACAATAAGGGTGGTGAAGCAATGGAACAGGCTGCCCAAAGAGGCGGTGAATGCCCTGTCCCTGGAGACATTCAAGGATGGTGCTCTGAGCAACCTGATCTAGCTGTAGGTGTCCCTGTTCATTACAGAAAAATGGTTGGACTAAATGACCTTTCAGGGCTCCTTCCAACTCCAAGATTCTATGATTCTAGATTCTATGGGCTGAGAACACCTCCTCCTCCTGAAACTGATGGAAGAAACTGACAGAAGGTGGAACAATTTCTGAAGTCAGATCTGGATGGACTTGCTATACTGGTGCCGCTGCTTCCTTTTTTGTTACCATTCACCTTGCCAAGATTGCAGTGTGTGACTCTTAAACAGATAGTAGCACTTTGGCACAACTGAGGGAGAAAAAAAGGCATTTTCAAAGTATTGCAAACCTACCTAAAACAGCTCATGGTATATTTATCTAGCATGGGCAGCCTACAACACAGGGGTGGCTCTGTGAAACACCTTAGCAGTAGTCATACGTCTCAGAAACAGCTCAGCAGAGGACTATAGGCACATTCTAAAAGTACCCTCAATGGGAGACAGCATCACTTGAGTCAGTAAGAGTTTCTTATGAATAATGTTGCATCCCAACTGTTTGCACTTTCCACATATCCATAAAGGCTGAGGAAAAGGACATGCTAAACTGAATTGAAAAAACTTAGAGAATTAAGTGGGAAAACAGCTTGCAGAGATACAGAAAGACACCCTCAGAAGCTCTTCGGAAGAATGTGAATAACGCACAGATTTCTTCCTTTCCTCCTGCAGTGATATTACCTCTTTGCCTTACTGAAAACATGCCTGACACAGTACAGATGCATCTTTAGTCTGCACAGCGGTATTCCAGCAAAATGGAGGCAGCTTGCACAGACAGACTTAGCACAGCCAGAATTAGCTCACAAGCAGAAGCATCACACAGCAGAGACAGGAGCCTTTCTAGAGCACCACAAGACTGAAGCCAGCCTGGCTCAGGTTCGTGGTTGCTACGGTAACAGATTTGGCATATGCCAGCCCTTCAGCTGCTTTGCTCCTTGCTTCCCCCGGCTCCAGGCTGGGTACAGCAGCCTGCCGCACACACGCGACCACGCAGCCACCACATACGCGCAAGCTGTAAAAGCAGAGCCGCAGGTAATCTGATTCAGCTCAATCTCCATAGCAACCCAATCTTCGTGCCCAGATCTCGGCGTGCTGGATCTATTTATGGCACGGCGGCCACGCTCCACCCCTTGCACCAGGCTCCCAGCATTGCTGCCAGGCCTCACCCCAGCACAAGGACCGCCAGGGTACGCTCTGACTGACCCCAGGGTGCAGGCCCCGAGCTGGTGGCACCACCGTGTCCACAATGCACTAAAAGCCTCCCTGCCAGCAAGGTTTTCTGCGTGCACAAATGCTACACGGATGAGACGCTGCTACTGATCACTGAAAGCAAGGACCCTCCGCAGCTGATGGGATCCTCTGCCCGACGTTCGCACACAGTGCTCCTGCAGGCAGCTGCTGCTGCTGGTTCCTTACTGCTGCACAAAGAATGTGCCAGCACAAATGTGCGATCCTAGAGGTAACTTGCAGATGGCAGAAAGCACGTAGCAGCCCTCGTCCCAGGGGCACGGCTGCATCCAGCAGCAGGTGTTTGCGAACTGCACGGCCCAGACATTCATCTGCTAATTGTTTCCAAAAAGAAGAAAAAAGAACAAACAAGAGCCCCTGAATCGGTCTCCAGAGACAAGAGGGTGAGGAAGAATGGTATGCGAATGCTGTTATTCATTTTATTCTAGTGCACTCCTGGGGAAAACCACCAACAATAAACTCATGCTGGAGAAGTGCAGAAGCACACACTTTTACATTACTTGTCATTAACAAAAAAATAACAACAGATTTCAGCCTCAGCCCCGCCTTCACTGGAAGTCCTTTGGTTCAGGCTGCAGCCCCTACTCCCCTCCCCTCTTGCAGATCACAAGTAACCATCTCAGGGAACAGAAATTCTGGCACAAGGGACCTTTGCCAACCCAGCCAGTCCTCCTGAGTGCACGGCTCACACTTGAATTCATCTTTTAGGTACCATTAATCTCTGGAGATTTGCAGTACAGAACAGCAACAAAAGTACTTTGGCTCTCTGCCTTTTGCTTCTTCTAAATCTGTCCATTTCCCCCCTCCTTGCATGACACCGCCATCACAAAACACAAAAGCCACATCATTTATTTCTACCTCATCAGGTCTTTATTGTCCCTCAGATCTCCACTACCATCTGCTTGTACACTTTGCAAAGAGAAAGAATACAATAACCAATCAAAACCTACAGAAAGCCCCTGAACTAAATTAGTTTCACCTTCCGCAGCCACTATGGGATTATGCTCTTTTCCAAACTGGAACAGCTTCCAACTCGAGTTCTGAGCTGAGAAACCTCCTCAGACGCTGCAGAGCAGCCCAGGCACTTCCATCAGCTTGGCATAGGGCAAGTCAGCCAGAGTGCCCGTACCACGGCCACCAGCAGCTTCTTCCAGAAGCCCAACAATGCAAATGCATAGCCTTATCAAGAATTAATAAGAAGACAACACAGCACATGGTATTTAAAATGTGAGAACTGCTGGACGCAAGCACAGCTCCTAAATTATTCAGTCTTTGCTCTTGCCCATCTCCCCGCAGTTGTGGGAGCTGAGAGAAGGGCCTTCTGTGAGAGAGGAAGAGACGTGAGGCAGACACGCAGCCAGGAGGCAGCAACCAGCAGCTTCAAGCTGTGCCAGGGCTCCCTGGGTAGAGGACCTCTGCGCTGGCACCGCCCCCGCCAGGCACAGGGATTCACTTCTTACCTGGATGTGGGCCGCAGCGGGACGACTGGCACACGCTATGGGGTTCCTACAATAAAGACTGGTTATGAAGCTGAAACGGGGCAAATTCAACCAGCATAGAAACACTGAAATGCTGAGAATGAGAAAACAAACACGAGTATTTGAAATAAATTAGTTATTCAGCTGTTCTCAGCCACGGCACTGGTACCCATCAGATCCTATCACTTCTGCCTTATCTCACTCTCCCTCCACATGCCACCCACCTTAATTACTGCTTCTGTCTACACGTCTTCCTCTTCTTTTCATAAACACTGTGCAAGAGCTGAAATTCCTACTCCCAGCCTGATCCTACTACTACTCTTTGTGACAAATGATAGTACCAGCTGGTCAAAGCTGCAAGCAGAGCCAAGAGCAAAGCCTACTCTCTGCCAGAGCTGTGCTAGGTGGGACGTCATGTTACACTCACCCACACATAAACACGAGCAAGGTAAGATCCAAGCCCAGAAGAGACAGAACGGCCTCCAATACCCCTCATAGCCAGCGAGGGACAGAAGGGGCTGAGGGGGCCTCCCAGTCACCCCGCCAGAGGGAGGGGAAGCACCATGTCTGCTGGGCCCATCTTATGAGTCAGAAGGGAGAAGCAAGATGGTCTGTGGGAAGAAAACGAATGCCCCAAGCATGGTTTAACCGCTACCGAGCGGAAACTGATACAGACACTGCAGCAGAGCAGCTCAGTGTCCTTGCATGAAGTAATTCTGATGAAATGCAGCAAGGGTCTTCATCACCAAAAGCGCTCCCACTACCCGATGAGACACAACGAGGCAAAGGAGGCAAAACTTTCCATCCCACCCCACAGGAGCCTCTCTGGAGCAAATCAAACCAACTCTGGCAAGAAGATGCAGCAAAATAGGTGTCAAAGCTATGTGTAAGGTGAAGGATAACCATTTGACACTGGCAGTGGGAAATTCAGTTAGCATAAAAACAGAAGTAGGATGCAATAAAGACAGCAACATAGATGATAAAGGGCTTGCAATGCTGTGCAACACTGCTGCTGAACTCACAGATATGACAAAGAAAAGGCACAGTTTAAGAAAAAAGGCCGTTCTGCTCATCAGACAACACTCAGCTCTGGAGAGCATCAGATGCATTCCTGACAATCTGGATATCTCTGCCCCATGTGTAAAAAAAAAAAAAAAAACAAGATTGAAATCCCAAATACAATTTAGGGGAAGTATTCAGAAATAAGGCCATAAACAACACAGAAAAGAGAAATCCCAACAACCATCACAGGATTGACCCAAGGCAAGGTGATGACCGGTTCTTTTTTGAGGACTGCCCCAGCTGTGAACACTGTGGAAGGCTGTGGAAGAAAAGAAAACCATGAACTTTTGTTCCTTGCTGCCACACTGATGCACTTTTTCCTCACACTGGCCTAGAAAAGCACCAGTCTCTCACTTGACTGCAGTCCCTGAGAACTGCAAGAGAACTGCCTCAGAAAGGAACTCTGGGTGCATGCAAGCAGCTCTTCTTACTTCTACATCACTACAAC